TTCGATTCAATTCAATTCAATTCAATTCAGAAATGCTTTATTAATCCCAGAGGGAAATTGATTGCTGTAGTAGCTCAGAATAATAATCAAGTCATCTGTAACGGAATGAAATGTATGTTTCCCCCTCTCCTCTGACACAGGACTGGTCTGCATGAGATATGGTCTCAAGGTCTCATGCATTTGTTATAAACTGCTTCTTTTCAGCTCAAGAGAAGAATGAAGAATGGACTCTTTTCTTTTAATTAATCAAAGAACTCTATTTTAATAAAGCTAATCAAGCAAAGTGTTAGTCAATAAATGAGATGTGACCGATCTGTGAAATCAAAATATTAATTACTTATTATAATCCTATAGAATATAAAAGTAATATGACTTTAGGACTGATCTCACGTAGTGTTAAGACATGACACATTGCGTTCACTGATCTAATCAGAATCTGCCAGATCTGACGGAGGCGTGGTTTTGGTGGTGTTTGGTAAATCTTTCAACTTTTCATTCGACCATAAACCAAAACATCCGAAGTATAAAACTATGCCCACGGCATATTTAACGCCAGTTCAAAGTGTTCTAGAGAAGTTGTCGGAGTGGCCAATCCGTAACTTTCCTCTTCAGCCAAAAGAACCAACGACAAGCTGGATAAAATCTGTTGCTGTTCCAACTGCTGCAATGGTTCCTTTCAGAATAAAAGCTGTACCATCAAGACCCATGTTTGGGTCTCGCTAGACACCAACAAAATTGTCGTGACCCGGAAGTATCTCAAAGACTGGTCTGGTCGGCAACCACTGCTTTTCCTACCAGCTTCGGTTCCAGAGAAGGTCAAGCTGGACCTCGACATTCCTGATCTAATGGGGACTTCCGCTAAGGGTGTGTAGGCCGACAAATGGTGTTGAATATGTTTATGAATCTCCTAATCAAAGCTTAACGCGAAGACATCACCTTCAATTCCCATCAGAACTAATCGCTTCTTCGGATTTGCTGGTTCTGAACAACATTCCACACTAGACCGTTCTCCATCTCATTCACCTTAGTTACACCATACATTTAGTGTTAAAGTTAGTCTAGTTTATTTTGTTTAGTAATACATTTTTAAACTTTTAAAACCTGACTCTCTCTTCTGTTGTCTCTGCGTGAATACGAAGCTGTTACATAATCCCTGCAATAAAAAGTTCCAATCTTCTGGTTAAAATAACCCAACAGATCCACCAATTGCTATGGAATCCTACGTCTTATGGCCAGAGGTGGAAAGTAACGAATTACATTTACTCACGTTACTGTAATTGAGTAGCTTTTTTGTAAATTTATACTTTTTAAGTCGTTTTTAAAATCTGTACTTTTACTTTTACTTGAGTAAGTTTTTAAAAAAGAATTGTAATTCACTACATTTTAAATCATGTCCGTTACTGAGTAAAAATAAATTGTAGGCTTAATAAATTAAAAATATTATGTGCAGCAGCGTCGGAACAGAAAGAGACACCTGCATGAGCGCCACGTCTAAACCGGGGGGGGGGGGGGGGGGGGGGGGGGGGCTACACGCTTTATGATGAGAACAAACAGCCATTTTTACCGCAGTTTTGCTCAAAAACATCAGTTCGGTCCCTGTGATCCACTCGCTGTTTACCTCCTCTCTCCCTCCTCTCCTGTGGGTTGGAACCGCACCTTCGCGCACCGGTGTGACGTCATCAGAATTCTGCTCGGTTCGGTAACCAGACTCAGTTCCGTGTTTGAAATGTGTTTCCATACCGCTCCGCACAGAAGCGGCAAAATAACGTTTAGCGCTCCTAACAAGCGGATTCTCAGCACTCTGCTCATAAAACAGAAGACCTGCAGGCCTCTGTGAGTGAAAACATCCTGATACTGTTCAGTTGCAAACATTGTGCTCCATCCCTGTGTTTGAACTCAGAAGATACTCCTTGATGCCACCGATATGTGATGATTTAGCTTGTTTCTTTATTTTACTCCAGAATAAGAGATTAAATTATTACAAAAGCAGTTCAGTGTAGTTAAATTAGTCATTCCAATGATTCTAACATGCTGCAGTGTGTGTGTGTGTGTGTGTGTGTGTGTGTGTGTGTGTGTGTGTGTGTGTGTGTGTGTGTGTGTGTGTGTGTGTGTATGTGTGTGTGTGTGTGTGTGTGTGTGTGTGTGTGTGTGTGTGTGTGTGTGTGTGTGTAGGACTGCATAAGACAGCATGGCTTCATCAAATCCATGCATCCTATATCTTGGCTGAAGTAATGGCTCAGGAAAATAACTTGTATTTAATAAACAATGATGTCTCTGCAGTGTTTAAAATAATGTTTTATCTTATCTTTGGTCTGGGAGGTGTAACATATCATGATACAAGCCTTTTAAAACATGTTAAAGTGTTACAAGAGGAGATAAATGCATGAATTTGAAGTTCATGTTTGGAGACCAACCTTCACAGTTTGGAGGCTCACGCTGGTGAGGAGACACCATTAGTTCTACTAACACCTGGGCTCCCAAGGCCTTTTCTGACAGGATGGACGTTACGGGACCCTTAAGGATTCCAGTTGGATGATTGGAGGATTATTTAGGAGGATTGGAATGAACAAACTGATTTCAGTGGTGAAGGGTTAAATGTATTGGCTCGGCATTAAAATTGTAGAAATGCAAAATAACTACACTTTATTATCTATATAAACATGTACTGGGTCCAGTTTTTTATTTTATTAAGGACTTTTGTCATAAATCATTAAAGAAAATCCAAATCCTCTCCTCCAGACAGTGAAGAACTGTGTTTCGCATACGTCACTCCAGCACGTAAAACAAGCTAGCTGCTGATGCTAATATTGTGAATCACTGTTATTTGTTTACTTTCATGCTCCTAATTATTACGTAAAATTGCATTTACAGCTGCAGCAAAAGGTCTGAGCCATGTGTCTGTGTCCTACACGCATTTTTAAATAACAGGTCTGATCTAAAATAATAACTTACATCTATAAATCCATCTAGAACCGCACAGCTACTTCTGGACTCTAGACGAGTCCCGTTAGCATGACTGCAGCAAAACTGCTAACCGTGTTAGCTCTGGTAAGGAAAGAACAAGTCCTTTGGGAAAGCTACGACACACACACACACGCACGCACACACACTCACTCACTCACTCACTCACTCACTCACTCACTCACTCACTCACTCACTCACTCACTCACACACACACACACACACACACACACACACACACACACACACACACACACACACAGCTCATCAGTTCAGAAGGGAAAAGTCATGGGCTTGTGACTATAACCTAATTTATGTTACTAGTTTGCAGTGTAACTGCCTTTGTACTTCAATATGCATATTTGTTCATTTAATTAAAAAAACGGCCACTTTGACATTTATACCCCATTGTCTTTTTTTTAACTATTCAGAAGAGCCCGTCCTTGCACAGTCAAAAAAGTAACTAAGTAACTTTTACTCTGACTACATTTTAAATAAGCTACTTTTTACTTTTACTTGAGTACATTTTGAGGCAGGTAATTTTACTTGTAATTGAGTAAAATTTCATGAAAGTTATTATACTTGTACTTAAGTACAACATTTTAGTACTCTTTCCACCTCTGCTTATGGCTTATTAAATAACATGTAATTTAAATCATTACACATCAAAGAGTTGTTGTATGTTACAATGGCTGTTGGCAGGAAGGATCTCCAGTAGCGGTCAGTGTTGCAGCGAAACTGAAGAAGCCTCTGACTGAAGACACTCTTCCGTTGTCTGACAGTCTTGTGAAGAGAATGCTCAGGGTTGTCCATCATTTTCTTGATTCTCTGGAGAATCCTTCTTTTCATTATCCCCTCCAGCGGTTCCACAGTCGTCCCCAGAACAGAACCAGCCTTTTTTATTAGGCTGTAGAGCCTTTTCAGGTCCCTGCTTCTGATGCTGCTTATATGCTGCTTGATGTAGCTCTGCATTGAAATCAAACATTTCCACTTTGGCCTGTTTGTCCAGCATTGTACAGAAGTGTTATTTTTTCAGATGCACATTTGCAAACCCTGAGTTATGCTGCTTTGTTCTTTTTGGAGGGACAAGGCTCTACGTCGGCTTCTGTCAAACCACTTAAAATTGTTGGAAAATAAACAGATGATCCTTCTCTGAAGGATCTTCCTCCTTGGCATTGTGTTAACATGCATCTGTATGCTCCAGACCTACAAACTAAACTACTGTTTTACACGTACCTGTATTCTCTTCACTGTGACACGATGCACAATTAAAAACAAAAGGAGGAATAGAAAAAAAGAAGCAAAAGCTTCAAAAGGTTTTGTTGCTTGAGAGAACATTATTGAACATTGTCCCTGCTGAGAGCTTTAATGGTGGAAAGCAAACAGAAAGACGGAGTGCTGTGTGGTTGGTGGTCTGTTTGCTTTAGCACAACCCAATTAGTATCCAAGGGAGTGGACTCATAACATTATAAAGGACATGCAGCAGGTTCAAAATCATCAGGGTTTCCATTCTAACCAGTCAGTGAAATGAATCAGTCATTAATGAGCCTAACTACATTTGACTTTGCCCTGAAAACACATGTTGCATTAGTGCACTGGCAGACATGCTTTTTTTTTCTCTTCCTCTGTAAATTTGTAACCATATCAAGACCTTTTACTTTGATAGCATCCAGGGCATTTTAATCGTGTTTTTAAGCATCATTATAGTGACCGCACCCATTCAGATAACTGTAAAGCGGTGCAGCTGACTACACGAGAGAAACTGCCAATGCTGCAAACGTAGTTTTTCACAATATTTCAGACTGACAGATAAAGTTTATAGATCATAGAAACTGATTCTGGTGCACAGAAACTTCTTTTTTGTTTTATGACTCTGGGTTTTAAAGGTGATGCAAAAAGACCAGTTTTCAGGACCAGTAACACAAAACAGACATTTCTATTGACTAGCGTGTATCTCTATCAGATATAAATGGCTACTTACTGCACAAGTATTGTCACCACAAGTTATGAATGGATTCATCCAGGTAAAGAAGTCTCACCTGCGGACCGAGTCTTTTCATCATATGAAGAAAAAAGTCATCCAGTTCTTTGCCTTCGATGTAGCCGTTATCTACCAAAATAAAAACAATTCAAGAGAATGTAAATGTAAAGCAGCAGGTGTTATTTTTACTAGAAAAATCTGTCCAGATATTATTATTGCTGTTTTCTGTTATGTAGCCCTTATTAAATAAGTTTTAAACTGAAACACCAATCGTTCAGAAACCTGCTGTTTCTCTTGTTAACAGATAAACATGTGACTGATGGCTGCTTTTTACACCAATATTTCATTTGTTAATCATAAAATGTAAGCTTTACTACCCAGGAACAACAGAGACAGAAGTTTTGTGAGTGCTGAAGTGTACTGATGGATGCGAGAGAGGAAAAAGCCTTAAAATATTCTCACCATCTGCATCAAAGTGCTGCCAGATTTCCAGGAAACCAGCTGCATCCAGTTTATCAAAACTCCTTTCCATTTTAAAAAGAAAAAGCCGACTGCTAACTCTTACAAAATTCAAATGTGTGTGAGGAGACAAACTGTTCAGCAGGCTGCTTGGCTGACTTATGCTCTGTGGTGGTAAGTGCAAACCACGCCCATTCTGTGTGTGTGTGTGTGTGTGTGTGTGTGTGTGTGTGTGTGTGTGTGTGTGTGTGTGTGTGTGTGTGTGTGTGTCAAATGAAAAAAGGTGAGGAATAATATTGCAGTGTGTGCTATCTAGTGGACATGAGACAACACTGCAAAGCTTCTCAGTGGTTTAAACTGAAATGTGACAAACAACAAGTGAGCTTGATTCTAAAATAAAATTCCTAACAACAATCATGACTTTTTTTTACAGTTTAGACACAAAAACACACCAGGAGTGCTTCAGTGTTTCTTGTTAAAATAAGAGAATTGAGATTTACCCAAATGAAAGTGTCCATCTGAAGACTGCAGCGTGACTAAATGTTTTCCATCTTCATAGTTTGATATTTCTGAATGAAAACCAATAACGCTTGTTTGTGCTTAGTGGAAGGATTTCAGTTTTCTTCCTCCTGAAATTTATGAAATCTAAAATATCCAGAGTTTGAGAAGACTGCAGGCACCCTTTCACATGAGAAGGTGGCAGACCTCTGCTGTTTAAGAAAATAAAATAATAGAAAAAAATTATAATAATTAGGAAAAAATCTACTTTTCACTGATCAATAAACCAGAGAAAGATGAACAGACTGCTTCAGACGAGGAGAAGAGCTGCTACTGAAACCTGGATGACCAAAAAGGGTGTAAAAGGGTGATTTTTCATGTGTGTCAATGTTTTTGGTTTATATGTCATATATGTTGTTCATGGTTCAATTTTACCAGCCTTTTTGTACAGTGTCCTCGGATGTTTTGATAAGAGGCCCTGCCTCAAGTGGAGGGGTTTAAGCATCTAGCTTAAGCGGTTACCTTCTCAGTGGTATAGTGGTACAGTGTTCGCCATGAGACTGGGAGATCGAGATCCAAATCCTGGTCGGGTCATACCAAAGACCTTAAAAATGGGACCCAGTGCCTCCCTGCTTTAAGGGGTTAGATTGATGTAAGTTTACTGGTGTGATGATAACTTATTGGACTTTAAGTATATCTATGCATCTAGTTCATGAATGAGGAGAAAATGGAGATGGAGGATGAAAGGTGGACTGCTGCTGTGTCTGCAGTAATACAGGTGTTGCACTGGTTTGTCGTGGTGAATGTTCCAACCCTCATCTATGGTCACGAGCTTTTCGGTCGTGACTGAAATCTGAGATTGTGGATTCAAGTGGCCAAAATGGCCTCCTGGATGCTTCCCTGGTGAGGTTTTCCAGGCATGTCCAACTGGAAGGAAGCCTAAAGGAATGCCCAGGACACGTTGGAGGGACTACCGGTATGTTTCTCGGATGGTCACCTGGATGGGCTGGCCCAAGTGGCTAGGGAGAGGCATATCTGTGTCATTCAGCTTAGACTGCTGCCGCCGTGACCCAACTCTGGATAGCCAGACAAAAATGGATGGATTTATTAATATTATATTAAAGTGCTTGGAATAAAATTGTTGCCAAATCTTGTACAAAAGAGCTTATGAGGACATACCACTCCTGTATGTTTTGCCTTCATTCTGCCGTATTCACTTGTGCACGCTTCTTAAAACACAAGATGTTGAGTTAAACCTTTGGAATGGGAAGGAAAAATAAAGCATGCTTGCAAAACAGAATGTAACAAAAATATGTTCACAATAACTTTTTAGTCATTTAGTGTATTTTTCAGGTTTGTTGCCACTCTCAGAATACAAATTTGAAGGACTGCACAGCGTTAAACATGACACCAGATATGTGACAGCATGTAAAACTATTTTAATCAGTATTAATGATTGCATGATGACATGTCTTACACCAGATTTAGACAAAAACCATGTATGTACCTAAAATAAGAACACACATGCCACAGTTTCTTTACTTGTCCCAGCTGGAGTTCAGTGCAATGCTTTTATTTTTGTTTCTTTAAAAAACTGGTCAAAGCAACACCAAAGGGATTACATGTAGTAACAAACCAATATTAATTTATTTGTACATTTCTGGACACAATGTACAGATGAGATGGAAACCAACAAACAGCATCATCTGATGTTAGTTTCAAACAAGCCGACTCCTAGCGTAGTAGTTCACTTAGGACCCAAACAACAGAGGGCCTGCTGCACTCCCATAGGCTCACATGAGTTTGTCACAGTGCGTATGTTACGTGCACTTATGTTACACGCACATAAACACACACACGCCTACGTGTATGAGAGCACATATATACAAACAGCTCAGCTCACAGTCACGTCCTCAAACAGGTCTGGATTTAATGCTACGGGACATTTTCATGTTTCTATAATGAGCTCAAACAGATGATCGGGTGATTAATTAAAAGTTATAACCAGTCTCTCACATGATGCTTTTTAAATTCCCTCCTCTGGTGGCAGAAAACAGCAGTGTGTGTCCACCAGGAAGGGGCCGAAACAGAACAAACACGCGATATTTGATTTTAACAACATGCAAGCTAGAAGAACACTTTTAAAAATAATTTGTAGTTTCCTGAACTAACAGAAAAAACGTGATGCAGCAGTAGTCCATGATGGAGGCAGGCTGACTATATACAAAAACAATAGTGTTTGTAAAACATGGTTAGTGACAAGAAGGCAAACTCTAACCATTAATTCATAGAAAATACATCAACAGACAACACAGCCTAGGAAAGCTGCACCAGTACCACTTTTGACCCTGACTGGGGTTAGACTTTTGTTTTTACAGTAGAAAATACGCTGCATCCCAATTGGTCGTAATGTTGGAGCAAAGTTTGGCACTAAAGTAGTAAAATGTTTAGATCTGTTCATAATAAGTTGTATGACGTGACCAATTTATGTTTTAATTTAAACACTTTAATTTATCGGGATGTTTACTTTTGATTTAATAGTTTTTCATTGTCGGTTTAACTAAATTAGGACACGAATGCAGCAGTAACAGAGTAGAAAAGTTGCATTTTAGTCCTAAACTAAATAAGTTTGTGTTATTTGATCATTTAGAGAAACAAATCAGTTGATAAGCTCCTAACAGACACATCCGATTTGTTGTTTTTCCACACAATTTTCAGGATCTGGTTGCAGTTTATACATCAGTGTGAAGCAGGCATCTGTTTATTTTTTAAAATAAATAAAGACAAAAAAAATAGAGGAATCACCCTGAGGGCCACGTTGATGTGAAGTAAAGCTACCTTCAGTTTCATCGCTACCTAATAAGTTTGAAGACTAGCAGAACGTTAAAGAAGTGCGGTATTCTCCGAGAAAATGAAACGGGATCTAAACAGAATAAATAAACTGAGGAAGAGGAGTGTGTCAAGGCTGGAGTGCCTTCAGTGTCCTGCTGTCATTGGACGGACAGCACACCATCTAAACATCAACTTCCTGGATAAATTAGACACTCATCATTTTCAAAAAATAAATAAATCTCCATTCAACCAAAAGATATGCTCCAAAATAAATAACATTTCAACTATATATTGCTTTACAATAACTTTTCTACACTCCCTTTCTAAATGAAACCCGACAAAAAACAAACAAACAAACAAGCATTTAACACAAGGAGTTTGTTAACAGTGCCGAAGCCTTATTGATTATCAGGCGTACGTCAGTCCTCTCAAACAAAAACACGTCATTAGGACACTCCACCTTGCACTCAGTGCTGAACTGAGTTCATCAGACAGGAAAACTACGAAAAAAAACTCTGATCGGAGTCTGAAATGAGGGTCTCACTGAAAAATCCTGCAAAAAAAAAAAAACTTTGCATAATGAGTTGGGTCACCAGGAGTCTGGAGGAGTAAACCGACACACGCCCACCTGGCAGAATCTGACTGGTTCCTGTTTAACTTCAAGTACTCTGGTTTGGTCCTGGAGTGTCGGGCTATGGCTGCAGGAGGTCAAACTAAAACACAGATTATTAGGTCATCTACACTTGTGTTCACAGTCCGTCTGGTGTTTCCTCAAACCTTCCTGCTCGCCTGATGGCTGTGTTTTCCTGAAGAGGAGAGCAGGAACAAGGCTGATAAATGATGGAGGAGGAAGCTCTCATGAGATTTAGCACAGTATTAGTTTTGGTTTGGCTCAATACTTGTTAAAACGATCACAGAATCAAATCAAAACAAATGATTAAAGTGTAATTTCTTCTTGTGTGGTGAAACGTGACCTGCAGGTTCAGACGCTGATAGAAATGAAACCATAATTTCCCCTTTAGCTGCTTTCTAAAGAGGAATGGGAGGTTTCATATCAAAATAAAGTCTTTGTCTGCCTCTTCCCCTGAGTCTGATGACTTCTTGCGTGTTGTCCTGTCTGAGTTTGGACATTTGTCCTTGGTTTTGAGGGAGTTTTGATCCTCAGAGTTGGTGCTGGATCGCCGAACAGCATCTGAGGTCGACCTCACTGGAAGCAGAAGAGATGAAAACTAGATCAATTGCATTTCTTGCAGAAATGCTGTATGGATGCTGTATAGCTTAAACTGAAAGCTGAATGTGCTTAATAGCTAAACTGAAGCTGAAAATAAGCAAAACTGTCAAAATGAGCTGAATATTTTGAAAGATTTAGAAGCAAAAAGCACCAAAAAAGTGAATAAAGCACAAAAAGTATGTGAAGAATGGAGAAAATAATCCTAAACAGCAGAAAACTGAAATCTGTGAACATTATTTAAAAAATCTGGACAGCTAAAATGTCTAAACACTTATTAAACAAGTCCTAGTCCAATAACAGTTTAATTTTTACATTTAGCTGAACTGTGAAATGAGCAGCATAAGCCAAATTCTGAAACTGATTGCTGAAGCTGCTGAATAGCTGAAGTGAAGCCGAAACTAAGCTAAACTGTCAAAATGAGCTGAATGCATTTAAAGATTTAGAAGCAAAAATCACCAACCAGTGTAATAAAGCTCATAATATACAGGTCCTTCTCAAAAAATTTGCATATTGTGATAAAGTTTATTATTGTCTGTAATGTACTGATAAACATTAGACTTCCATATATATTAGATTCGTTACACACAACTGAAGTAGTTCAAGCCTTTTTTTGTTTCTAATATTGATGATTTTGGCGTACAGCTCATGAAAACCCAAAATTCCTATCTCAAAAAATTAGCATATTTCATCTGACCAATAAAAGAAAAGTGTTTTTAATACAAAAAAGTCAACCTTCAAATAATTATGTTCAGTTATGCACTCAGTACTTGGTCGGGAATCCTTTTGCAGAAATGACTGCTTCAATGCGGCGTGGCATGGAGGCAATCAGCCTGTGGCACTGCTGAGGTGTTATGGAGGCCCAGGATGCTTCGATAGCGGCTTTAAGCTCATTCAGAGTGTTGGGTCTTGCGTCTCTCAACTTTCTCTTCACAATATCCCACAGATTCTCTACGGGGTTCAGGTCAGGAGAGTTGGCAGGCCAGTTGAGCACAGTAATACCATGGTCAGTAAACCATTTAGCAGTGGTGTTGGCACTGTGAGCAGGTGCAAGGTCGTGCTGAAAAGTGAAATCTTCATCTCCATAAAGCTTTTCCGCAGATGGAAGCATGAAGTGCTCCAAAATCTCCTGATAGCTAGCTGCATTGACCCTGCCCTTGATAAAACACAGTGGACCAACACCAGCAGCTGACATGGCACCCCAGACCATCACTGACTGTGGGTACTTGACACTGGACTTCAGGCATTTTGGCATTTCCCTCTGCCCAGTCTTCCTCCAGACTCTGGCACCTTGATTTCCAAATGACATGCAAAATTTGCTTTCATCCTAAAAAAGTACTTTGGACCACTGAGCAACAGTCCAGTGCTACTTCTCTGTAGCCCAGGTGAGGCGCTTCTGCCGCTGTTTCTGGTTCAGAAGTGGCTTGACCTGGGGAATCCGGCACCTGTAGCCCATTTCCTGCACACGCCTGTACACGGTGGCTCTGGATGTTTCTACTCCAGACTCAGTCCACTGCTTCCGCAGGTCCCCCAAGGTCTGGAATCGGTCTTCTTCCTCAGGGTCGGGTCACCTCTTCACGTTGTGCAGCGTTTTCTGCCACACTTTTTCCTTCCCACAGACTTCCCACTGAGGTTCCTTGATACAGCACTCTGGGAACAGCCTATTCATTCTGAAATTTCTTTCTGTGTCTAACCCTCTTGCTTGAGGGTGTCAATGATGGCCTTCTGGACAGCAGTCAGGTCGGCAGTCTTACCCATGATTGTGGTTTTGAGTAATGAACCAGGCTGGGAGTTTTTAAAAGCCTCAGGAATCTTTTACAGGTGTTTAGAGTTAATTAGTTGATTCAGACGATTAGGTTAATAGCTCGTTTAGAGAACATTTTCATGATATGCTAATTTTTTGAGATAGGAATTTTGGGTTTTCATGAGCTGTATGCCAAAATCATCAATATTAGAAACAATAAAAGGCTTGAACTACTTCAGTTGTGTGTAATAAATCTAATATATATGAAAGTCTAATGTTTATCAGTACATTACAGAACATAATTAACTTTGTCACAATATGCTAATTTTTTGAGAAGGACCTGAAGGTGAAGAATGGAAAGAAAAATGCTAAACAGCAGAAAACTGAAATATCTAAACATTGTTTAAAAACTAGACAGTTGAAACAGCTGGCATTTGAGTAAGAGTAGTTTAATAGTTAAATTTTCCCAATTAGCTGAACTGTGAATTTAGAAACATTTGCTGATATCTGAAACTGATAGATTAACATAGGTTCAGATTGTGTAATGGATGGATGAAAGGTTGGATGGATAAAATTATGGATGGATGGATGTTAGATGGTTTATTGGATGGATGAATGGATGGATAGATTCATTAGACCAAGCCAATCGATTTGATGTATCATATGTGCGGGTGCGCATTTAGCCAGAAGACGATTGAACTCTCTCAGCCAATCAGAGAGCTGAGACGGGCTTGGGCGGTTTCCCACCTTCTGATGGTAAATTAAATGTAAGCTATGCTTACAGTTTTATGTACAGAGAGGTCAGAAAGATCAGATACAGCAGTTTGTTATTGGCTGGATATTCAGCTTTTTATATTCATTCCTATGAGACTTGGTTAGAGTGATCCTCAGTTTCCTTGTGTTGCCATGGTAATAATAATAATACATTTTATTTGAGGGCGCCTCTCTCAAACCCAAGGTCACCTTACAAAGATAAAAACAAAAAACAACAGAGGTTAGATAGGGCAATATGAAACAAGCAAGATAAATAAAAATTCAAAACAATTCTAAAGTCTAGGTCTAAAGGAATACACTTGTTTGAATAAGTGGGTTTTGAGGTGTGCCTTGAATAACAGAAAAGAGTCCGTATTTCTAATGGCAGAGGGAAGTGAGTTCCAGAGCTGTGGAGCAGAGCAACTGAAAGCTCTGCTCCCCCCCATGGTGGTAAGGCGAGCTCGAGGTTGAACCAGGTGAAGTGCAGATGAGGATCTAAGAGATCCGGAAGTGGTTGCAATAGTTAGTAAGTTACATAGATAAAGTGGAGCCATGCTACGTGTAGATTTAAATGTAAGTAGTAGGATCTTGTACATGATCCTGGTTTCTATTGGCACCCAGTGTAGGTTTTTAAGAATAGGACTGATGTGATTTCTTGAGGGGGGTCCCAGTAATGATGCGTGCTGCAGAGTTCTGGAGAAGTTGGAATTTATGAAGGGATTTAGTTGGGAGACCAAATGGAAGGGAATTACAGTAGTCGACGCGAGAGGTGATGAGACTATGGGCGAGGATTGCAGCAGCATGAGGCGTGAGAAAACGACGGAGTCTGTTGATATTGCGAAGATGGTAATATGCGACCCGAGTAACATGGTTAATGTGAGATTGGAATGAAAGTGTACCATCTAGTATGACACCAAGACTTTTTACCTGTAAGGATGGGTGAACTGTGGAGTCGTCAATATTGATAGAGAAATTGGGAGAAATTTTTAAAACAGAAGCAGTGCCAGTGAGGAGATGACAGGAGTCTGCTTTAAAATAGTGATGTCCAATTTCACATGACTCTTAAATTTTGAATAACATTTCTACATTAAAGTATGTTGATACAGTGGTGTCGAGCTGAAGGTTTTGATACCAAAATTGTGTAAATAATTAAAGTATTGTGGAAGTAGTTAAATGCCAAAAAATGCACGGAAGCATAATAATATAATAATAACAATAATAATAATAATAAAGAGAAACAGGAAAACAATGCATTCAAACAATTACTCGGTTAGCAAAAAGATATGACCAGCAGCCAAAGACAACAGATCTGGTCCTGATCTAGAGTAGCCTAGTGAACTAGACCAAATTCTTGCTTTGCAAAGTTTGGTCTAGGCATGCTCCATTGGAACCTCAGCAGCTCCTACCAGGACTCTGGCTAGCCAATCACAGCTCTCTAGAGGGGTTTCAAACACATAAAGAGCTGTGATTGGTCCATAATGGTGGGCCAATCATAGTGCTCTATCTACTTAGTGAACAAATCACAGAGCTTTATCCGCTTTGTGGGCCAATCAGGGCACTCTATATGCCTGGTGGGATGATGCAACAGAGTGAAACAAGAGTATGTCACATTTATTTTTTTTTAATTTATTTTATCATTTATTTACTTTTTTCCGGTTCCGGTTGAGTGAACGCTGGCGCGTCTCGCTGCCGCTGCTCGCTGGCAAACAAACTTTTTGTATTTTTTTTTCTTCTTTTTCACCCTGGTCACATCCCTGTGTCGGTGAAAACTCATTTTCACCTACCTGCTCAGCTTGCGTTCTGGTTGCACATCACCACCTCCCTGCTCCACTCCATAATGTGGTCCAGCAGGATTTCTGTGTGCCTCGCACTGGCCTGGATCATCCTGTCGCTCATTCTTCTGTCCGTGGATGGCCTTCTCCAGTACTCGGCGGCGGAGCTCTTCAACCTCCGCTTTCGCTACTCCGGATCTCCACCACCAGCTCTGTGCCTCTTCCCCGACATCACCTTCCAGCCTCGCCGTCGGTATATCCATCGGGGGTCCCGGCGGAACCTCCATCTCGACGGCTCCAAAGGAATACCCTCCTTCTGGTCCACGACTAGCCGGCGGCTACCCAGGAATACCTGCCGAGCTGCCGACTCCAGCGTGTTAGCCCGGCTGGCTAGTCGGACTAATGCTCCTGTCGCCAGGGACTTCCGCACTGCTAATTTTGGTCTTCTCAACATTCGCTCCCTCTCTGGTAAAGGACATCTCCTCCAAGATACCATCAGTGACCATAAGCTAGACTTTCTTTGTCTGAACGAAACATGGCAACAACCCAGCGATTTCTCACAACTCAATGACTGTACTCCTCCCGGATTTGTTTACCTCTCCAAACCCCGTGGGTCGGGCCGCGGCGGTGGTCTCGCGATACTGTATCGCGAGACTTGGAAGGTCCTTCCCGTAAACCTTCCTCCTCTCACCACTCTGGAATGCCTCGCCTGTCAACTCTCCGGCCCGACCCCCACAATAATTGTCACTGTTTATCGTCCCCCCAAGTTCAGCCCTGAGTTTTTAAATGAACTCTCTGCTCTTTTATCCCATCTGTCCGCCCTTTCCCCAAATGTAATTTTACTTGGTGATTTTAATATTCATATGGACAATATGGCCCTCCCCCTCAGCAAAGACTTCTCCTCATCTTTGGACAGCCTCAGTTTTCATCAATATGCCAATTTTCCCACTCACATTAAAGGTCACACCCTGGATTTAATCTGCTGCTCCGGCCTGACCCCCTCCAACTGTACAGCTGACCCGCTCCCTTTCACGGACCACTTCCTCATCTCCTTTTCTGTTCCCCTCCGTCTCTCCATCATCAAGTCACCACGTATCATTTCTTTTCGTAATATTAAGGACATTGATCTAGCCTCCCTGTCCTCCAGTTTTGCCACCTTGACCCCTAATTTGTCCTCTACTCCCGATGATCTTGTCATTCAGTACAATAACGGTCTGGTTTCTATCCTTAATTCATTTGCTCCCATCAAATCCCGCTCTGTATATTTTACTCGGTCTGCTCCATGGTTCACCCCTGCCCTTCGCTCCTTGAAAGCTACCAACCGGAGGCTTGAAAGACTCTACAAGAAAACCGGTCTCACCATCCATAAAGACTTATATTCTGCTCAGATTTCTCTCTACAAGGACTCCATCTCCCATGCCAAATCTCAGTATTACTCCGGTCTCATCTCGTCCAACTCCAGCAACACTAAAACATTATTTTCCATCATGAACAGCATTTTTCAGCCTCCCGACTCCTTACCCATCCATCTTTACTCTTCAGAAACCTGTAACTCTCTCCTTCAGTTTTTTAATGAGAAGGTCAATAGAATCCATCTCTCTTTACCTCATTCCTCCCCTCCCTCTCCTGATTTATTTGAACCCACCATTCCGTTCTCCTCCTTTGAACTTCCCCATCCCTCAGAAATATTAGATTACATCACCAAATCCAAACCTTCCACCTGTCAACTGGACCCTATTCCAACTGTTTTAGTTAAATCCTGCCTTTCTTCTCTGCTCCCTTTTATAACAGCCATTATTCATTCCTCACTATCCTCTGGTACGGTCCCATCCCTATTCAAATCCGCTTCAGTCAGCCCTATTCTAAAAAAACCTGGTTTAGATCCCAATGATTTCAATAACCTCCGTCCCATTTCCCATCTTCCCTTCATTTCCAAAGTCCTTGAGAAAACTGTTGCATCTCAGCTCCATTCACATCTCACCCGCAATAACCTTTATGAACAGTTTCAGTCTGGCTTCCGTCCCCACCACAGCACAGAAACAGCTCTCATCAAGATCACTAACGACCTACTCATTGCTGCTGATTCTGGTTTAATCTCTATTCTTATTCTCCTCGATCTGAGTGCGGCCTTTGACACCATTTCTCATCCCATCCTCCTTAATAGACTCTATTCCTTAGGCATCACTCACACCCCCCTCCGCTGGTTTCAATCTTACCTTACTGGCCGCACTCAGTTCATCCAGTTAAAATCCTTTACCTCAGAACCCTCCCCAGTCAAGTCAGGTGTGCCCCAGGGCTCTGTCCTGGGGCCCCTCCTCTTCATAGTATATCTCCTCCCTATCGGCAAAATCTTCCGCAAATTCAATATCCAGTTTCACTGCTTTGCAGATGACACCCAGCTCTACATTTCCAGTAAGCCCAACTCAACTCTCCCACCATCCTCCCTTACACTCTGCCTCTCTGAAATCAAATCATGGTTCACCTCTAATTTCCTCAAACTCAACGGCAATAAAACTGAACTTCTTCTAGTTGGCACTAACTCCACCCTCTCAACATCTGACAGCTTTTCTTTAACTATTGACAGTGCCACAGTCTCCCCCTCACCTCATGTCAAGAGTCTGGGTGTCATTCTCGACAGCTCCCTTTCTTTTCAGGCTCACATTAATAACTTAATTCGGTCAGCATACTTCCATCTACGTTCCATAAACCGTCTTCGTCCCTCACTGACCCCTCACACTGCCGCCATTCTCGTCCACAGCCTCGTCACCTCCCGTCTCGACTATTGCAATTCACTTCTTTATGGTCTCCCCAACAAACTCCTTCATAAACTGCAACTGGTCCAGAATTCAGCAGCCCGTATTATCACCAGAACCCCTTCCTTTCACCACATCACGCCGGTTCTCCAGCAGCTCCACTGGCTCCCAGTTAAATTCAGGCCCATCTTCAAAATTCTCCTCCATACCTTCAAAGCAATCCACAACCTCTCTCCTCCATATATCTCAGACCTTATAAGTATTCACACCCCGTCCCGTTCACTCAGATCTTCTTCTTCCATCCATCTTGCGGTTCCTTCTGCCCGTCTCGCTACCATGGGGAGCAGAGCTTTCAGCCGCTCTGCTCCTCGACTCTGGAACTCACTTCCCCCAGACATCAGGAACATCGACAGTTTTACCCTTTTCCAATCAAAACTCAAAACACATATGTTTAAATCTGCCTACAACCTCTGATTTTATTGAAATGTTTCTCTCAGTTTTTTCTTCTTTGGGTTTTATTATTGTTTTATTGTATTTTATTACGTGTTTTGTGTAAAGTGACCTTGGGTGTCCTGAAAGGCGCTTTGAAATAAAATGTATTATTATTATTATTATTATTATTGTCCAGTGGAATGCGGAGATCATTTGAAAGACAACGGTAGAACCCGCCCCACAACCGAGAACCATCAATGGAGCATGGCCAGACTAAATAATACATTTATTTAGTCTGGCTTGCCAGGCTAGATCTAGAGGCTTTTAGGTGATGTTTATCATCTCATGCTTGCTGCTGTAGGAACAGCAAGACCAAATAAGGGTTTAGAATTAAAACACCTTGATGGTCTCTAGACCAGCTGCTCAGTTCACCATCTTTAAAAAAAATCTGCAATATGCAAGTGTTGATATTTGTAATCACTTTACTGAAGAGGCTAATCTCAGATTACGTGGCTCACCTTCCTGAGTGGTTTTATTGGTGGAAACTCCCGATAGAGGACTGGCGTCCTTGTCTTTCTCTGAGACAGCCTTCTTCAGTGTGGAGGGGAGAACTTTAGGAGACACCCGACCACCGCTGGAAGCGTCTGAACCCTCATCTTTATACAAAATAGTTGGATTAATCTTTGTAAACAGTTGTCACTTCTCCCAGTGTTGTATGCAATCTGTCAGATGCACCAAAGTGAAGATAAAATAAAAACAACCAGAGGTCTACCTATGCTTCTGCTGGTCCTCGGTTTCTGTGGGATGGAGGGTCGAGCTGCCAGAGAAGGCTTTGCTCCTTGTGGTACTGGTGGTTTGGGGGTTGCTGGTCCTGCTGGGGAACTGGAGGAGGACGTAGCCCTGAGGCGAGTGGCTGTCTCAGGCTTGGTTTCTCCACGTGTTGTGGTCTTTTCTGGAGGAGCTGTGTCAGCTTTGTTAATGGAACCCGTGGGAGACCTGCTCCCTGTGGTCGTAGAATGGGACTTGGCTGCCGACACATGGAAACAATTTTTTTTATTACATGTATCGACCCAACAGTCCAAGCAATAAAACATATATTTTTACTTTTATTAATCATGAAACACAACTTTTGTCCTGAAATGAATGATTTGATTTCAACTCACCTGCATTGCTGTCAGGTCTGTCAGGGCTGGAAGACTGGAGCAGACACAAAAACACAATACAGATCATCATCAATCATCGTAAAGAGAACCTGAAGGGAGCCAGTGCTAAGACATCTACATCATCTCGTTAGTCTTTCGCCTGTTGCTACATGAAGCCCTCATCTCTTCCTCATGTCTGTGTTGGAACCTACCTTGTAAGCTCTTCTCTCCTGTTTGGCCTTCATCTCTGCCAGCAGGCCACTTCCCATCATCTGCATCCCAGGGTACCGTTTTCCTCCCTGAGGACTCCCCTTGCCGTCTGAACCATCCCATGGTTCGTCTATAGAGTCGGGAGTCCTGAGTTCCTCGGAGCGGTCGGAGCTGCTGCTGTAGTCTGTGTGCTGTGAGCGAGTGGAAGCATCTCTGGAGAAGGGACAGAAGCTGTTAGAAGGCTTAAGGATGAGGTAAATGGAGCTGGAGTTAGTGTTTGATGGAGATACCTTTACCTGGACTTTGGTTCCGGAGCTGGGCTCTTAACTGCCCCCTTTGGAGAACAGGGCTCCTCGGGGATGGTGAATCCTGAGGGCAAGGCTACAGAGGATGTAGCACAGGATGCTGAAGCTGCCTGGTTTTTCTCAGATTTATCTAATTTATCTGCTTTAGACGATCGCTTAATGAGGTTTAGAAATCCGCCTTTACTCTTTTTCTTCTCTCCATCCTGAGAATCTGAACCTTTCAAGAAACGTCTTTGAGAGAGAGAGAGAGAGAGAGAGAGAGAGAGAGAGAGAGAGAGAGAGAGAGAGAGGGGGACATTAGCAATGGTCTCAAATAGGAATGAATGCCTTGTAAGTCGTACAGAGCCTCCAGGAGCGAGCAGTTGCCACATCACAGCTGAGCTTCAGACAGCGGGTTTTGGAGTCTTACCTCCTGATATTTGGACCTCGTTAATATCACAAAATAGTTCCTGAGCGCAGCCACTGCTACAGCTCACTGCTCCCCATGGTATTGGATCAAATGCAGGGATGTAGTTTCACCAGTGTGTGATGATGACTAATGGGACTATTGCTCCCCAACGCAACGCAACTCTACCACTGATTTGCTACATGGATTTGTTTTTCTCCACAAATAACGCAAGCCTTGAGGAGTTCTGCTGTGTGGTGGACTTGCTAATGCTAACAGTTAGCTTCTACTAGCCGAGCCGTTTCTTTTTCCCAGATGCTAAACCAACAACAGCCTTTCCCGTCAGGAGCCAAGATGGGTGAGTCCATGAATGTTAAGTGACAGTGTGACGTAGATCTGTCAGGACTTTCTAATCCTAGAGTTTCTATCAGAAGCTAATGCAGGAGATAGGTGAAGATTATTTTCTAGTGATGTTCCGATCACATTTTTTTTTTTGCTCCTGATCCGATTCCAAGTAATTTGATTTTGAGAATCTGCCGATTCCTGATCCGATATTTTAGAAATGCATGAAGAAAAAAGGAGAACACACTAAAGTTGTGAGTTATTTTTATTATGAATGTCTTTCTTTCTTTCTTTCTTTCTTTTTGTATTTGTCAATTCTTTAGTTTTGTTTGCCATAAAACATCACTTGTTTAGAAAGTACATTAATAAGATAACATGTTAATTAGGAATATGTGTAAGAATCAGTCATATTTCAAATAGTTTTCTCAGTGTGCGGCTGCTTTGAGTGACAAGGATGGCACGGCACATGACGGTCAGCAGCAGAGTCACTCCTTTCTACTAAACACCTGTACAGCTGCTGTGTGTGTAAATTAGGAAGAGAAAGCAGATCATAGCGTGACTTAAGGAGACTGCAGAACCCGATGTTCGCAACCACAGACACTCATCCAGCGTGATTCAGATACTGCTATCTTGACATTTTTGCTGTCCATAGACAATTTCTATATTCTTACATCTTGTATGTGTGTCAGTGGGCTTATCTGAATAGTTGCTGTGATGATGCATCAGAATCGCAGTGTTGAACGCAGCTCTACCTTGTTTCACCATGGTAAATGTCCAGTTTGCACACGTTACAGGTGTCTATTGCACTCCCTTTGCTGTTCGTTTTAAAATACATCTAAATTAAAGACATTTTCACTGTTATGAAGGAACAAGTATGCTCTGTGTTAGCTAACAGCTACATGTTATGGTACCTTAAGTAGTGGGGATTTACGTGTTGCCTGTGGAACAAAGATTACTGATGTAAAGGAACTTGTTGAATTTAAAACTAAGTCATCATTATTATTATTTATGACTCGTTTAAAAAGTAATAGATGTTATTTTAAATGGTAGAATTTGATTTTTCTCACCCGATTCTGTTTACCTGAAAATCACGGACCCGATTTCCGATCACATGATCGGATGGCAGCATCTTTACTAGCGTATTGACCCTAATATTGGACAAGTTTTTTCTAATTGAAAATACTTTTAAAATGTGAGGTCTTCTTATAATCAGGGTCTCAGCGTCTGGGGGGTCATTACACGCCCATAACAGCAGAGGGCGCCAGGCTGTATGTTCTCAACACAAGAAAAAAATGGAGACAGGTCTGGAACAGAGTGTGTGCGAATTTTAAGATGACGGTATGCCTTGGATGGCAGCGAGGATGACGTTCAATGGGAGGAGCCGGCAGGTGTAGCGATCCGACATTACACTGGGACCTCAGCAGCATGAGAGCGAGTGAGTACAGCGAGGCAGACGATGTCTGTGAATCTCATTTGACTTGATTTCACTCACACGTCAAGAAAGTTCTGATAGTTTGCATTAAAATTGTATTTTTGCTCAGTATTTGTTCTCAAAATTTCAATTAAAAAAAGTTGATTTAAAAATGCATATGTATTTTGTCTTTTCCTGAAGAAAAGTCTTGGAAAGGGGGGTCGTCTTATAATCGGGGTGGTCCTATATTCAGGTCAATACGGTATTTTCATGTTCAGCCTGCATGACAAACTCCAAGTGATCAAATATAATTAAAAAAAATGATTAAAATGTGTTTACAGTGTTCCACACCTTTGAAGAAAATAGGTTGGATAAATAAATATGTAACACAACCATTTATAATAGAAAGAAACTTACTTGGAATCCATTTTAGTAACTTTTTTAGAGAAGAACTCGTCCACTCCTTCATCCACCCTTCCCATCAGACCATTTTGTTCCCCATCATGACACTGAGCACTGTTGAGTTGCTGAAAAACAGTACTGATCTTTATATTTCTGTTTGTTTCACAGTGTAAGATAAGATCCACCCATGATTGTTGTCTGCAGAGCTTCACTTACAGCTACTTTACTGGAGTGTGTTTTTTTGTTCCTCCGAGGTCGTAGTTTGGTGAAATGCTGCAGTTTCTTCTCCTCCTCTGATGGCAGCTCTGCAATCCCTCCTGATGGTCGTTGATCTTGTTTGGGGGAAAATACGGATTGAGTGGGTGGAGTCTGGGATGACACGAGTGTGTCCTCTACGTGGATTGGTACGTCCTCAAGGGCCTTGTCCAGGTCAAACTCCATCTCTACAGGAGGAATAAAACAGGAAGCTTCACATTGGGGTGGGTGATATTTTCTAGATGCTGTGGCCAAAGAGGAAGCTAACCACACAGTGCTGGGTCCAGCATCCGGGAGAAATTTGAACTTGGAAACACCTCAAAAGAAACATGTTTCAACTAGGATCAGCTGGTTTTTCACATTTAAATGATACACACACACACACACATATATATATATATATATATATATATATATATATATATATATATATATATATATATATATATAGTAGTTTATATATATATTTACTATAAATGTGTCAGGTTTGGTTAATCGTGTGTGCCTACATGCAATCTGACTGATTTACACATCAATGTCTGCAGCCGTCTCTCATTCAGCAGTGGATTTCCTCCACCAGACTCACTAGTTTCACTCCTAGGGCTCTGGGAAAAGTGCCCCTGAACTGCAGCTAGACAGCCAATCACATTTGGTTTCTATGGAGAATTGGAGAATTTTGGGCCAATCAGCAGCCATGAACTGAATGCTTCAGCAACTAGCTAGCATGCTAGAAGGTGATGGATCTAATTTAACCTCTGTCACTTCCTCTTTCACACACACACTCACTGTTGGTTTATTATTGAGCTGAAATCATAGCTGTTGATGTAAATTGTGTTATTTGTTCTCATTTTATGGGATTATTCTATGCCAGAGGTCACCAACCTCTGTGAAGCTGAGAGCTACTTCATGGGTACTGAGCCATATACAATACAGACCTTTGAACTAGAATAGATCAGAGGTAAACTAAACTTCATGTATAATAAACACATTAGAATATTTTAAAAGACATTTGCGTTTTTTAAATCTATATTAATGCCATTGTGATAAAAAAATATGGCTATAGATTTTTTTGTGCTTTTGAAGAAAAGGCCTGTGGGCACTTTATATGGTTCCTGGGGGCACTGCACCCCTCAGTCTGTGCTATCTTACTGCCATCTACTGGCCAAGATGAGTATTGTGCAGTTTTGAGCAGTTAGAGACAGGATTATTGACTGCATTTGCTCTTTAAGGCTCACACAGTAGGCTTCTGGATTTATTTGAGTATTACAATTATAGTCAACTTTATCTGTAAATTAGAAAACTTATTTTCTGTAACATTGCTTAATTAGAGGAGGAAAATTGATGGTTGTTTTGGAATTGTAGTCATTTTTTAATCTGTTAATTTCAATAATTATCATGGACTAAAAATGGAAATATTTCACACACAGACCCCCAAGAATCTATTTCATCAATCGCCATCAGAGACAGCAACTAATTAGCATGCATGCAAATACTAACAATGTAAATAGCCTATCAGCTAACCTTCCTTTTAAAACAAAACCAGCTTTAATGGCAAGTTAATTTTTATTTAAAAAGTCCCTATTTACATTTTCTCTGAGAAAACATTTATTAGACCATTGTTCTAATTATTCAACACTTAAACAGAATGTGTATTTTACCAGAAATTTGCATAAAAACTTTGTTCAAAATAAATAAAATGATGTTGAAAAATATTGACGGCTGGGCTTCGTACCATCTAACCTTAAAAACTGGGTCAAAATGACATAGGGCACTGGGCTAGCGTCTTTGGGGGACGCCATATTAGACGCCATGTTTGCTTCTGGCTGGCTCGGGGTCCTGCGCCTGTCTATGATGTCACACTATGGCATATCCACCCGGTTTTCACACGTAAGTATTGGAAAGAGTTTAGCAGTTTTGTTAATAAATTCTTGCTTCTTACTGTCTAAATGTTCTTTCTATAACTGTGTTTTGCTAATAAAACACCACATTGTCTTCTCTTCCCCTCCACATCGAGAGGAGCCAGTGGAGGTGGCTCGGGCATCTGGTCAGGATGCCTCCTGGACGCCTCCCTGATGAGGTTTTCTGGGCACGTCCAACTGGGAGGAGACCTAAAGGTAGATCCAGGACACGGTGGAGGGACTATGTCTCTCACCTGGCCAGGGAACGCCTTGGGATTCCCCCGGAGGAGCTGGCCCAAGTAGCTGGGGAGAGGGAAGTCCGGGCCTCTCTCCTAAAGCCTGGTTCATGCTTCTCCGTCAGCTCCAACAGGAACAGACACGCTTGCATGGACAGAGATGTTTTGCCCTCATACTTCTCTGTCTCCTGGGGAGTGTTGCAAAGCAATTCCCCGCCAGGACAACAGAGGGCGTAGCGCTGTTCTGTGGTATCCTGTCATGTATCCGGTCCAAGATAGTGTGTTTATATTGTGTTTTTTTTGTATATAAGAGACTTTTTAACAGACACATTTGTCTCTCATACTCGGCTCTCTTTATGTTTTTGAGGGCGCAATGGTGGCGGTGTAGACGACAGCGGTGCCCTGACCAATCACAAGCTTGCGTTGTCCATCTCTACGGATGGATGTTTAGAAAAGAGAGCTCGACTCCATACGCCCTTGTGGGGCTCTCCAGCAGGCCCGCAAGGACGGATAATGGCGTTGCGTGTCTCCACACTGACGCAGAAGCATGAATCAGGCTTTAGGCTACTGCCCCTGCGACCCGACTCCAGATAAGCGGATGAAAATGGATGGATGGATGGATGGATAGATGGATGGATGGATGAATTGTCTTCTCTTTGTAAAAAATGTGAAACTACATAAAGCCAACATCAGACTGCCCAAAAATACAACAACTCTTATTGTGAAAGTTTTTTAACCCCTTAAATTTCCAGGTTTGATGAACACAATGGGGTTTTGTCCCGTGGGCGGGATGCTGGAATGCTAAGGGATAAATGTATTTACATAATTAGCAGCCATTTCCGTTTGTGGAATGTGGAATTCTTCTTTATATTTCATTAGTTCTCATGTATATAAACCCATTCATTCATTAAAAATGTTGCTTGCTATTTGCTCAATAAAGTTCTTTTATTTTTTATTTTCCCCATTTCATTCAAATTAAAATCAAGAGCTGCTGAGGGTTTCCGTTTATTTTTGTTTTCATTTTTCATTTCATTTTAGTTCACAAACATATTTTTCTCTTAAAGTATGTTTGTATTACCAAAAATGTGTTTGTTTTCCAACTACAAGACTACAGCCACACATCTTTGGACCAATCAAAATTTTCAGTGTCAACGTGCTAACCGTAAGTCGACGTTCAGCCAATCGTATTGTGTGACATCATCGGCAGGCGCAGGGCCCCGAGCCAATCTCGTACCTACACCGGAAACTACAGCGCAGAAAACTACAATCGGTATTGCATTGTCTCAATAAAAATACCTGAAGGACCATCAAAGTCTGGGGGGTCACTTTCACTTGCTTTCTGATCCACAAGTGTTTATTTTTAAACTAGCGACAGTCATGGTGATATGGTGTAAAAAACCCTGAAATGTACATACTGCCCCCCGTCATCAGGAAACTACACACTGCCACTTTAAACAGCTTCCTGATGAGTTGGTGCATTTAGACTCATACGGTTTTTGGGTGTGTGGTTGTCGGAGGACTTGGGTATTCGCCCAGAGGGACTAGGCTATGTAGCGTGCTTTAGTCCCATTATTTGCGTAGCCCCATGTTTTCAATCAACTAGAAAGACACCCGTAGGGCTTGTTGTTTGTAATCTTGAGGGAATAAAGTATAGAGACTGACACTTACAAATGCACCAGTCTTAAATCTGAATTAGACGCTATTTAGGCGGCTAGAGGTAGACTTGATGACACAAACAAACATTCTTACCAAAGGCACGAGACACAGGCCGCAGCATTCGGCTGTGTATGCTTTTCCTTTTGGATTTAGGAGTCATCTAAAGAGAGAACAGGCAGGTTTAGACTGTGGACAACAACTAAAAGGCTCCACCAAAGTCATCAATAAATGTCAACTGTTTCTCAGGCTGCAACAAGCTTCCGTCTCATTTAAAACACCCACCACCTTTATGTGTCAGTGACGAGCCACACAGCGACGTGTAGAAAATTTAAAACACTCAACTATCAGTAATTATCTCATAGGTTAAATATCTGAAATAAATTACAACACCCCTCAAACCATCTTCTTTTCCAAACACTGACACATATAGAGGCTTCTGGAATTACATTTGTGACCTGCAGCTGTGTGGTGATGAAGAAAATGGTGAAGTGGACCAGTACAGTGAACTGATAAATAAAAGTACATTATAAAATCTCTTCACAGAGTGAGTAAATGATGTAACAAGACAACTACGGTGTGCTCGTGTGTGTATATATATGCAATTTTAGATTTTGCCAAATGAAGTACACTTTGGGGAGTCAGATGTAGCTGAGAAGCTAAAAAGCAGAGTGAAGAAAAAAAACCAGCGAGGGAAAAAGAAAACACAAAGTGGGACAGTCCAGGATTACTTACGCTGGTGCAGCACAGAGTCTCCAAGGAGCAAAGGTGGAGAAGTTGAGAAGGAACAGAGGAAAAAGGTTGAAGAGAAAAGACAACACACAGTGAGGCTTAAAGCACAGAGGGAACGAGAGCAGGAGGAGAGGAGGAAAATAGAAGATGACAGCTTTTAAGAGACCGAGACGGAGGACGAGTCAGCTGCGTTTGTTAGCGATGGCCCTTCTGTCTGAGCCTCCCTCCGACTGACTCACACATAAAGACCACAGCACAAGAAATTACATACAAACTAATAATTCCCACTGCAAGGCAGATTAAAACCTAGAATAATGCAATCGTAAGTTTAAAGAGCTTCACCAGAGAAAAGCAGAGATGTTTTAAACAACATGGTTGTATTGTTTAACTTGTTAGAATTATATCAACTTCATTTACAATGGAATAGAAAATCCCTTTATTGTCCCTGAGTGGGGAAACGTTGATGGCACTGCAGTGATTACATTCACAGCAGGGGCCAGGAATAAAAAAAAAAAAAAGAAAAATGAAGGATAAAAGGTTGCACACTGAACAAAAACATATAATTATAAATAAAAGCCTAAATGAATCTGGATCTGGACTCATTTTGTTTGTCTTCTGCTGATTCTGAGTAAAACGTCGTCCTCTGGTGTGGCTAATAAGCTGCTTCTAGTCACTCTTTTTTACCTGATTGGTGTCAGATTAAAAAAAATCCCTGTGTAGAAATTGAAATAATCATCTCAGAAGACACAAGAAAACCAAAAAAGGGAAATAAATCTAACCAGACTCAGAAACACTGACTGTGTAAGTCTCATTCCTGAGGTCTTGTCATGGCATCAGCCTCAGGGAAATCTGGGAAATCAGAGAGACGACTCACACATGATCACTTTCATCAGATACAGTTTCTCATGGGTTTCTCTTCGAGTGAACATCAGGACCACGTGAGCTGAAAAACTGCAGCTCAGTCAGAATTTAAACTAATTTCCAGAGAAGTTCAAACTTCATTTATGAGCTTCAGCGTCGACAAACTGTTGTGTTATTTCAGCTCGGAGTTTGTTTTGTTTCCACAGCTGCCTCCTTCCTGGCAGCACCAGACTAATCCAGCAGCTGAGGGCATGTGGGATTTTTAGTTTTCATGCTATTTGCACTATACACCCCCTGCTGGTGGTAAATGATAATTAGGTAGGTAAAACTGAGCCTAAGGCTTAACGAGCATACTGAAGCATTCCCAAAATTCCTGTTGCTGCAGCACTTACGCTTTTGAACAAGACAAAAATAAACACTCAAGCCTCTTTAAGAGCACAGATCAGCGGTTTGATGAGCCCCTCTTTAGGCTTATGTAAACAAATTTGATCCTGCAGAACCAAAGGAGTCGTGTTGTGCAACTAAGGCCCTGTCCACACGTAGCCGGGGATCTGCCAAAACTTAATATTTTTTCTACGTTTTGGCCTGTCATCCACACGAAAACGGAGTTTTTTCACACGAAAACGGATCTTTTTAAAAACTCCGGCCAAAGTGAAGATCTGCGTTTTCTCCGTTTTGGGTGTCTGCGTGTGGACAGACAAAACCGGAGTTTTAAGGTCCGCAACGTCACTTTCCGCGACAAAAAAATGCTGACATCACGTGTGCGACCTGTGTTTACACTAGCCGACAGCATGGATGCCCTCAGAGCTGCGCTCGCTTTATCAATTGTCCAAGCGCTTTTTGCTTGTTTGTTTTTGCAAGCGGAATTACTGCTCCTTGCGGAAGACCACAGACGAAGGACGAGGTTAAGAACGGGGGAAGTACTGCCGTCTACAGGTCTGGCATGTCCTTAACAACGTATTTATCCGGGTACGTGTGGACAGAGATTTTTTTTAAACGAGGTGGTGTGGATGCAAGTTTTTGAAAAAACCCGGCTACGTGTGGACTAGGCCTCAGCAGGGTCTACATCAAACACGACACATAAAACACGTGTCAGACGTGTCGCATCTTAAAACACGACTGACTGTTATACAGACCATCTGTCAACACACTGACACCCTCCAGCCATGAAGCTGGTTTACCTTCACATACGTGAACATGTGAATCCCCCCCCCCCCCCACCCACCCCCCCACCCCCAAGTCCTTACAGAAATTAAATCTAGATGGCCAGAAAGCATCTCTGACCGGAAGTGAGGAGGTGAAAAAGGCTTGTAACCGTAAAAAACCTGAAGAGCTCCGATCACTCGCACGGTCCCACTGCAAACTGATACCTACCAAACACGTTTCCAGATCCTCAAGCCTCTCTGCCTCCAGGAGCTCGGTCGAAGCGCGTTTGGGTATCTTCTCCTCCGGTGCATCCAGATCCACCGATTCCCGCTGCAACAGCGGGCGACCTCGTCGCACCAGATGGTCCGCCTGAAAGGGCGAGGGAGGAAAAACACAAAATGGAAACGGTTCAACAGCAAAGGAAGAGTGGAGAGGGACAGAGACAAAATATGGATGAAAAAAAGAAATAATTCAGCAGATAAACAAGGTAAACAAATACAATCTCTTACCAGGATGTGCTGCGATGAAGAAAGAGCCTCCAGGATCTCATCAACGATGCGATCAGACAGAAAGGACGCCAGACTCAGCTTCACCTCACTGATTTTCAGAAGAAGCAGAATAGTGAAGACAGGAGGTCTAGTTAAGCTCTGCTACCAAACAGCAAGGAAACACACCTGATCTTGTTGATGATATCCACCCCAGACTGCTCCAGGAGGGTGTTCGTGACAAAGCTCTTCGGTACCACCATCCGGGCTGAGCTCGCCTTCATCAGCTCTGGACGAAGGTTACTCCTCTTCATCACATGAGGACACAGAGACTCTGCTGTGTCCACCATCGACTCCAACAGAGTCTGGGAGGAAATTAAAACTAAATCAAAACTTCATGATTCAGGTCCAGGGTGACAGATGGTCTGACCTTCCGTACTTCTCAAACACATGAATTAAATCAGCCTTTTGAAGTATTTCTTCCAGGTTTCGGGACCATTTAGCGTGTTTTTGGTGCGTGAGCCGGTCTGCATCTGGCTGCAGTCTGGGTCGGAACCGGCTGGCACCTTTCCTGATTCTTTTCCTCACGGGAGAATCGCTTTGAGAGTGCTTCAAGTTATGCCACTCACTTTAATTTTACCACAGCTGTACTTCAATGAAAACAGTAAGGCAGTGATTCAGTTTGAACCTGATTTGTGTATAAAATCAGCTCCAGAAATGAAATCATTGTTTGCTGCTGAATAAGTGATTGTGGAATGGGATCAAATTCATTCCATTTTAAGATTAAACAGGATGTCTTGCAAAGGTCAGATAGAAAGTGACCCTGGTCAGTTAACACACAAATAATCCAACAGTAACCAGCCAGGTAACCACAGATTTATTTCTAATAACTGTTGTTCTGGATTTTCAGCCAGAACGTCCCACCTGCAGCTGCTGATCCATGACCGTGGTCACCTCTCCAGCCATGGACTCCAGTTTCTCCTGGATGGGACCCACTGATGAGCTGTTCAGCTCCTCTCTGGATGCTGCTCCAAGGTGGTAAAGGTTTGGGAGAAGCTAGAAGTAAAGAGAAGGGCGTCAAGTGTGCATCAAAACATTTTTTCCCCAAGGATTTAGTCTGTGTGCTCACCGTTTTTGAGTTCCTGGCATCTTTAATGAGATTCTCCGCTGATCTGACGTCCTCCAAGACGGCATCCGTCTCTGAGTTCTTCAGAGAGTTCAGGTGGTCCTGGACCTTCACGCAAATCCGATCTATCACCTGAAAAGCAAACATCAATATAAACTATTGTAGTGTGATACAAGCAGAACATAACTAGGAGAAGGTCGGAGGACCACAGCTGTGTCCTCACCTGCTGCGTGGTGGTGGTCACGATGCCTTGCTGGAGCCGATAAGCCTGCTCCTGGAGGTATTTTCTAGTTTCATGATTCCTGTACAAATAATTCTCAATCTAGAAAGAAAAATGCAACATATTCCATCAGAATAAACCTGGAAATGAGAATCTAACAGTCCTGAAGCAGAAGGAGGTTTGAGGAGACAGTGGGAGATTTTCCCTTACCTTCAGCAGAGCGTCTTCCGTTTTCTCTGGGCTTGCCTTCAGAGCCTGGGAGGCATCGATGATGGGGATGGGCATAAAGCGAATGGTGAAGTTCCTAAAGGAAACCCCATCAGAGGACTACTGTGAGTCGGCATCGTTACACTCCCTACAACTTTAGTAAAATAATGTTTCAAAGCTTTGATTTATGAACCGTTTCTTCTTGTAAACTTAATAAACGTCATGATCATCAGAGGAAAACACGTTTAACAGCAGAGGAAGGGAAGCTGAAGCACAGGAACGTTTTGGTTTACAGTCAGAGATGTTTAACTAAACTGGGACCTCATGCTACTGATCTTCTGGTGGAAACCACAAAAGGATAAACGAGCATAAGAGACGCGAGGATTTCCTGCTGAACAGACTAGAGATCGGGGTAAAAACAAAGTAAGGAGGAGACGTCGTTTGCTGAATAATGCAGCACGACGACTCAGAGAGGAAACAAGATGAGCTGCTGGGGAAAACAAACATCGATGAGAGGAGACGCGTCTCTTCTCTCAGAACGCCGAGCACCCAGGAAGACAAAAATCGGGTTTGTTCAGTCTTGATGTTTGGTTTTACTTCGTTCTGAGCAGGTCTCTTCCTGACTCGGGTGTCGTTGGCACTCTGTCTGCTCTGCATCTTCATCCTCTCCTCTTCCTGACTAAAAACCCTCTAGAGGTTTCTTCCTGCTCAGTGGGAACTGTAAAGACATCCCTGCTGTAGCAGCGTGATTTTAGATCATGTCTACACATTTTCTAAAGCATTTAAATAAAAGTTAGCTGACAGAAATTACTTAGTGTGTGAGGTTACATGGTCGATAAAACCTGGAGCTGGTCACCAGTCCAACTCTGCTAGTTGTGCAAATAAATAAATAAATAAATAAATAAATAAATAAATAAATAAAAAAAATACATGACAGAAAATTCAGAACGCTTAAAGTTTACAAAAAAAAATGTGGAGTAGTTGAAAAAATAAACTGTTTTTTTTTGTTAAAATCTGATGGCAAAAGGAGAAATCTCAGAAATGTCTTTATTGATGTAATTCAACTTAAAACAACATGAAGCTGGTAAGTCTTAAACTTGACCAAAAAAGAAAAGATTTTCATTATTTAAAGTCTTAAGTTTACAAAAACTGTTTACTGAGATTTTTCTATCACATTTTTGCAAGAAAAAGTCAGAAAATATTTAACATTCTCGTTGTAAATTTATAAGAAAATAAAATGAAGAAAAATGCAAAAACAGAAAAGGGGAAATTATTTTTATTAAATTAATAAAAGGCTCAAACATGTTCAAAATAAAACTATTTCTACCGCCACTTACTTTTCCAGAGCAGCAGCTACATCCTGAAGACCCTGAGGGCTGGTGTTGTTCTTATCCCAGATTATAGTCCTGCACCAAATAAACACACAATATGTTTCAATGCTTTATTTCTTTAGTTATTATCTGATATTTATTCCAGTATTTTTTTATCCAACTCCTCTAACGCAAACTCATATTAAATAGTAAATAATAGATCAGTAAAAAACACATTATGAAGTATTAAGGGAGAAGTTTACAGGTGCTGGCCAGTAAATTAGAATATCATCAAAAGGTTGAAAATATTTCAGTAATTCCATTCAAAACGTGAAACTTGTACATTATATTCATGCAATGCACACAGACCAATGTATTTCCAATGTTCATTACATTTAAATTTGATATTCATAAGTGACAACTAATGAAAACTCCAAATTTGGTATCTCAAAAAATTAGAATATTCTGAAAAGGCTGAATATAGAAGACACCTGCTGCCACTCTAATCAGCTGATTTACTCAAAACACCTGCAAAGGCCTTTAAAAGGTCCCTCAGTCTTGTTTTGAAGGCACCACAATCATGGGGAAGACTTCTGACTTAACAGCTGTCCAAAAGACAATCATTGACACCTTGCACAAGGAGGGCAAGACACAAAAGGTGATTGCTAAAGAAGCTGGCTGTTCGCAGAGCTCTGTGTCCAAGCACATTAACAGACAGGTGAAGGGACGGAAAAAATGTGGTAGAAAAAAGTGTACAAGCTCTAGGGATAACCGCACCCTGCAGAGAATTGTGACGACAAACCCATTCAAAAATGTGGGGGAGATCCACAAAGAGTGGACTGCAGCTGGAGTCAGCGCTTCAAGAACCACCACGAGGAGACTCATGAAAGACATGGGATTCAGGTGTCGCATTCCGTGTGTCAAGCCACTCTTGAACAAGAAACAGCGCAAGAAGCGTCTCGCCTGGGCCAAGGACAAAAAGGACTGGACTGATGCTGAGTGGTCCAAAGTTATGTTTTCTGATGAAAGCAAGTTCTGCATTTCCTTTGGAAATCAAGGACCCAGAGTCTGGAGGAAGAGCGGAGAAGCACAGAATCCACGTTGCATGAGGTCCAGTGTAAAGTTTCCACCGTCAGTGATGGTGTGGGGTGCCATGTCATCTGCCGGTGTTGGCCCACTCTGTTTCCTGAGGTCCAGGGTCAATGCAGCCGTCTACCAGGAAGTTTTAGAGCACTTCATGCTTCCTGCTGCTGACCAACTTTATGGGGATGCAGACTTCACCTTTCAACAGGACTTGGCACCTGCACACAGTGCCAAAACCACCAGCACCTGGTTCAAGGACCATGGTATCCCTGTCCTTGATTGGCCAGCAAACTCGCCTGACCTTAACCCCATAGAAAATCTATGGGGTATTGTGAAGCGGAGGATGCAATACGCTAGACCCAACAATGCAGAGGAGCTGAAGACGACTATCAGAGCAACCTGGGCTCTCATAACACCTGAGCAGTGCCACAGACTGATCAAGTCCATGCCACGCCGCATTACTGCAGTTATTGAGGCAAAAGGAGCCCCGACTAAGTATTGAGTGCTATACATGCACATTCTTTTCATGTTCATTCTTTTCAGTTGGCCAACATTAGAGAAACAAACATTTTTTCATTGGCCTTTAGAATATTCTAATTGTCTGAGATACCAGATTTGATGTTTTCATTGGTTGTCACCTATAAATATCAAATTTAAATGTAATGAACATTGGAAATACATTGGTCTGTGTGCATTGCATGAATATAATGTACAAGTTTCACGTTTTGAATGGAATTACTGAAATATTTTCAACCTTTTGATGATATTCTAATTTACTGGCCAGCACCTGTAGTTATACCTGAGTTTGGAGTTGATTTGCAGTGCCTTTGCTAGCATCTTAGCCCCCATGTCGCCCATGGAGTTCCCGCTGATGTCAAGCCTGGTGAGTGAGGAGTTGCTGCCGAGGGCGTTCAGAACAATGGAGAGATCGCTTTTGAGTCTGGAGTCCGCCAAAGACAGGGAGGTGAGGGGCTGGGGAGGGACAACAAACAGGACAAGGCAGTTGTTACGGTTTCTGAAAATGTTCCGGGTCTCTGAGGAGCGTTTTCCTCTTCGACTGTATAAATCCAACAGAACATCAAAACCACCAACAGGTTCTGTACCTTCTACAATGGGCTGTTCTATCAAAAGGATAAATCTGATAATTAGTTTGAGAAACTGCAACCTAAAACAAGCAACATGTATATTAATACATTTGTAATCGTGACTGTGTGAATACATCCACCACATTAACGGACTGACCCATCTTAAACCTTTGTCGGCTGTGCTGAAGAGAAAGGTACAGAACCAAATTATTTAATTAATTAGCTGCGTGTTCTCATGTCCTCTGTCCTCCGGGCCACACACACACACACGTACACACACACACACGGGACAGTCTCAGCTGTTATTTTCGTTAAGGAGTGTGCACGTACAGCATGCGCGCCTCGTGCACGAGCCTACTATTGAAGCTGCCGTTATGCTTTTGGCCTGAGGGGGCAATAGCGAGCATAAAAATTCAAAACTCTGTAAAGTCCCTTTAAAATACAAAAAAAAATAATAAATTGATACAAGAAATAGAATGAAAAAGCAAAGTTAAAAGGTGAGCAGTTACAGTACAGAAGGTGCAGCATAAGAAACAGTCATTCAAAGGGTGACAAATACATGAAAGTTTTCTATTTTTATTTAAAATTTACTAGAGTTGGGGCACATTTGAGGTCATAAAAAAGCTGATTCCATCTGTGTGGTTTGACTGCATCCAGTCATTAACTTGCTCCAAACACTGACCGAGGGAGCCTAGGGGACCACAATCACTAGGTGATAGAGCTAGGTAGATCTGGGTGTCATCTGCATAACTATGATCAGTAATGCTGTCTTTAACCTGACCCAGGGGGAGCAAGTGGAAACTGAAGAGAGGTGGTCAAAGAATTGAGCCTTGGGGGACGCCACATGTCATGATGATCAGCTTTGATTTGTGATCGCCAATAGAAACAACATAACTTTGGAACCAACTATGGACTGTGCCTGTAAGTCCCACCCAGGTTATGAGCCTATCAAAAAGGATGTTGTGGTCCACAGTATCAAAAGCTGCAGTGAGATCAAGCCTCACCAGCACAGATGTTTTGCCTGAATCTGCATTTGGATGAATATCATTTCATACTTTAATCAGTGCAGTCTCAGTGCTGTGGTGTTTAAAGCCTGAATGGAAACCATCCAGGACGTTGTTCGTCTCCAAACTGTTTAGCTGGATCATAACAGCTTTTTCAATTATTTTCAAAATGAAAGTGAGATTGGAGATTGGTCTGTATTTATTCATCACTGCAGCCGTTTTTGATCATTTAGGAAAAGAATACCTGACATTAGGGAGCAATTAAGGAGCAGAACTACATCACATACAGGGCATGACTTATCTAACCTGTAGCAATAGGTGTGCTGCCTGGACTCCAACTAGTTCACACACCAAAACAAACAGCATAACAGCTGTGTGTTGAGTGGTGCCAGACAAGGTGCACGACGTGTGTTCTCCTGTTTTACTTGCTAATAGAGGGGGAACAGCATAAAGAGGCTTGTTTTCTCAACAAGCCTTCACTTATCTCTTAGCTCTGCGTATATGATGCCCAGGACACTCCTCACACACACACACACACACACACACACACACACACACACACACACACACACACACACACACACACACACACACACACACACACACACACACACACACACACACACACACACACACACACACACACACAAGAGCATCCAGCTCTCGGCTCAGTAGAGTCATTAATCTATCACATCTGTCACCGTGGGAGAGAAATGAGGGCAGACAGCAGGGAGAAACCAGCTGCAGCTCCCGTTACCGGGAGAGACGACATGAAGAAGATGGATTGAGAGACATAAAGACCGTAAAAGGTTGGAAATAAGCCACTGGTACGTTCCCACTTTCAAAAAAGAAGGGGAAAATCCTTCACCACATTAAGAAATGATGTCATGACAGTTTGAACACTCTGTCCTGATTGGTCCACAGTTTCATTTTATTCTCACTGGTTTGGCTGGGAAAAGCCTGAAACCATGGATGTAATTTTCACTTCAGAAGTGGGGGGGACACGGGCGGGGGTGGTGGTGGTGGTGGTGGTGGGGGGGATATCTTTGCAGTATAAACTCATGGGAAACGGGCTTCAACACAAACGGTTGTTTTCTGCTTGGTCCTAGACCTCAACCAGTGTAAATTTAATATAGCGTAATATTGTTTTTGGATGGTAAAAAGTGCAGGGGTCAAAACTTGACTTTGGAAAAAGTGGGGGGGGACATGTCCCCCCCCAAATTACGTCCATGCCCGAAACAAACCTGAGATATAAGCTAGGAGCATCATTTTTGATAGAAATTGATATAATCACACAAACCACACAGAAAGAGGACTTACCGACTCCTCCTCTTGAATCATGTGAACCAGGCCGTCCAACACGGGAGCGAGGTTTCTGATTCAGACAAAGAGAAGGACACAGATATAAAAATACACCCCATGATATTATAGATGGGTAGATTAGAGGACGTTTTCCTTTATTCAGATGGGATTTGTTAGTTGAGTCGGATCTCTGAACCCTGCGTTCTTACTTTGACTTGATGTTGGTGAAGTTCTTGCCCAGAGACAAGTGTCTGATGGAGCGGTTCTTGGCCAGCCAAACGAGCAGCGTGGACAGCTCAGAGTCCAGGCCTGGGATGAGAAGAGCATGGGATTTTTAATTATGCCTCCTTAAATTTGCAGTACAAATAAACAGAGAACTGGAGGGCTCCATCTCACCGTTATCAGACAGATCCAGACTGGAGATGTTCGGGATCTCAGCTATACAACTCTCCAGGATCTGAGAACCTCCAGACCTCAGCTGAGAATAAAAATAGTTGACAATTTTCTGTCTCACTGAAATGTTCGTTATAAAAACCAACGTTGGCACCTACACGCAAACCGTCTTCATATACACACATTTCGAAACGGTTCACACTACGCATTCATTTTCTAAACACAGCCAGTAACAGATTAATTCAGAAGAACAGCTTTTTACAAGAAACAAGGAAAAAAAAACACACAAACCCATCAGGAGAATGAAAATGCCGAAGAAGACGAGCAAATTAAAGAAGAGTGAGGCGCTAATTAACAGGACTGGGCATGTGTTATTTTACTTACACAATGGCCAAGCTTACAGAGGCATTGGGAGGAGAAAACAGCACGTCAAAGCCAAGCCAGCAATTAGCACCAACAGCAAAAACACACACACACACACAGATGCTTAATGATCATTCTTGCGTTCAAATGAAAACTAAAGACATCCAGCAGGAAGTCATAGAAACTCCTGATTTTCCACGCGGATGACTCCGTCGCTGCTGAACGGGTCATTATCGGCTTTGAGGGAGCAAAAACGCATCATTTCACCCCGAAGCGTCAGTCGTGTTTAGGAACTGACAGAAGACTTCCTGTAAAATTTACATTCATTAGATCTCTTTAACCATCTTGTTCTGCAGCGGGGAGAGGGAAGAGACCACTTGACAAGCCTTGATGCAACTTGTGTTGAAATGAAGGGAGAATGAGCCTCCACCCACTCATCTGTCAGTTCATCACCCCCTCTGTCGCCCTGCCAGCCGCCAGCCAAGCGGTCCATTATTCTGCCTCGTAGCGTCGCTGCCGCTCTGTCAAATGGGTTTCAAGTGCAGCGTAGCGAGTCCTTTGCATTGGATGAGCATTCGTTACAAACAGCTGAAAATCGCTCCTGTAAAACTTTAGCTGACAAGAGCACGTAGTGCTATGGGGCCAGAGCGAGTGATTAAAAAGAACTATCAGGTAGACAGAGCAGGAGTTTCCAGTGTTTTACCACCATCCGCAGCAGCGGTCTGACTCTGGTTGCATCCGTTTTAAATTCCACCAGATTGATTCACTAATGACATGCCTGTAGTGCTGTTGCTGTTGAGTGCTTATGTCTCCGAGGGTCTCACCTCACAGCAGCTGAGGTCGAGAGAAACTTCCTTCAGGCTGGGGTTACTAGCCAGGCCGAGGAGGAGCGCCCTGCACAGATAACATAGTAGACAGCAAGAACGTGTGAAGACTGAGCTCTCTTTGCTGCTCAGCTGCAGGTTAACGTGAATGAAGTCCGTCTCACTTGAGGGCCTCTGCAGGCAGCTTGGTTCCAGACACGTTGATGGAGCTGAGAGACTCGGCGCTGCTGAAGAAATGCTTAAAAGACGGAGGCACCTCTTTGCCTTTCCTATACAACGAAAAGGAAAACACGGATCAGATCGAACCGCTACGATCTGAACTGTCATTGCAACGGTTCACCGTGCAAACTAAAAAACAAAACTTATCAGAACCACCAAACAGCCTTAATGATACAGTCGACTTGGGACCACATCTTAATCCTCTGATGATTCTGTTTTGATCTCACTGCCAGTAAAAATCTCACCCGAGTGGAACGTGAGTGCACACAATGACCAGCAGGTGTCGCTCAGTAACAAAGGAGAAGTTGGACAGTTTAAAACAGCAGGCAGCAGCAGACAATGGGTGCTGTGTTTACACACAATAATAGTTTTCCACAGTAGAATCAGCCTGCACACAATGAATGACAGCGTACAGACAGTAACAGTCAAACCAGTTTACAGCACCACAGTTAAACGCTGTGTGTGTTTGTAAGGAGATCAACCGGGAAGCAGCTAAACGTCTTCTTTCCAATAACCGTGTAACTCCGTGTGTGTTCCTACAGCATGTGCGTAGCTCCCCAACCATTACTGTAATTACTCCATCTCCTCTCAAAAATAGCATCAATTACAACATGAGAAGTACCACCACTGTATTTAAAACGGACAAACATCTCCCAAGTGTATAAAAGGCCATGGAAGCTTTACTTTTGATATTTTGGTGTTTTGCACTTAGCTGTCTGTTTAAACCGAGCAGTGCACATAAACAAGCTCTAACCAGTAGTGAGAGGCTTATTTCTAACCCACATGTAAAGATGTACAGTACTTGTCGCTGAAACTGCACGAAGGATGTCTGGATTTGTCTTTTGAATCTGAAAGCTAGACCAACCGTAGCGGGTCGGTCTGGCCACGCTCCATTGTAGCCTCAACGGGTCTACCATTAGCCTGAACAATTGTTGCCAATGTTGTAGAGAGACGTTGGGTGGGCTTAGCACCAGAGCGGCGACAAAGAAAACCTACAGAGATGGCGGCAGCTCAGGAACGGCGCTCGTTTGAAATGGTTTTGGCATCAACGTTGGAGTAACTAGGCTTTTCTTTGAGACAAAAGCCGACAGAGGTACGTAGAGAGACGATGTGTATGTTTTACCATTAATCTCTGCAAATGTCCATCGAACTGTTGTCAAAAAAATGAATTAAATGATGCCCTGAAATCTATTGGCAGCTTTGTAACATGTCGGGTCTAAAATACACGGGAGAGGGGACGCACCATATTAGACTCCATGTTTCCTTCTATGGGAGCCCGTGAGGACAAAACACGTTCACTGATTTGTAGCAAACGTTTATAAAACTTTCACCACTCATAAACGTTGTTGTTTTACACATTTACCTCTTCACTCGTTGCCAGTGATTTGATGTGCTTGTCATTTGCTGGAGGTTGTGCTCCCAGTGATTTTTGACCCTAATGGCCATCCATTGGTAAGGTCTTACTCGAACACAAAAATATTGCTTGCTTGCAGTGAATTAGGCCCGCACTGCCCCCTATCGCCATGGAAAATACACAACATCACTTTAAAGAGCAAGTCAACCCCTACCAGAGTCTAACTCCACTCTCTCACTTCATGTTTGAAAAATGCAACAAATGCTGTTGCCAGGCAGACCGAGAGGGCGGAGCCACTAACAAATACACACACAGGCTCACGACAGCATTGTGACATCATAATGTACCAGATGACATCATAGCATACCTCTTAGCCAATAGCGGTGGCAGATTTAAATTAGAATACAGTGCAGAGTTTTTACCTGACAACGGCACAACACTGACAGTTTTAGGCAGAATATTTAAATTTTAACTAAGATGCACTGAAGTAACAAATTGTTGACTACATGTGTCTGAAGCACGATTAGACACTCGTTTATTTAGTTTATCAGCAAAAAAAAGTTTATTTGGGGGTGACTTGCTCTTTAAGTCCTCCATTATTCTACTTGTTTTAGGGTGTATGGTGGACTTCCCTGTTAACTGATTCATGCGGCGACGTGACGTTGACTGTTGCTCTGATTGGTCCTAGAGCGCTGTCCAATTGCGTGTGGAGACGGTTTCTCAGACAAGCGTAGATTCCGCCCTACGACTGAGCTCTGTCTATCGGTCGTGGCCAGACCACCTTTACACATTTAGGATGGCTTGCTAGGCTAGTCACCTCCACCACCTGACCGCTTGATTGCCTACCTGTGAGAGAAAACGCTCTTTGACACGTTGAGGACAGAGAGGTGTCGGGCCGAGCCTCGCAGAAGAGCTGAGCAAACCTGAAACACACAGAATAACAACATATTTGAGCCGCCGCAGAGAACAGCCTCTGCAACAGTTTCCATCTTCACATGCAGATCACTGCAACATTTAATATTGTTTAATTACAAATGTGTAAACGTGTTTACATATGGCTGCACATGTGCAAAACAAACTATGATTTAGAGGCTAATCAATATGTTCGGTCACTGTCTGACAGCTGGCTACATGCCAAAATAATCAATAAGCTGCTTTTGGCTCGCAGACCCACATCGATACATCCAGACTGATTCACACACAGAAAACTGGAACACAGAATGAGATTAAACAAAGATATTACTGCTGGTGTTTCATTTTACAACGAGGTATGAATGTCACGGTTTAGGGAGCCTCTAAATATGTTCACATGAAATTATTTGGGTTGATTTCCAAACACGGCAGATGGAGTAACTGACCTGATCCAAGGAGCAGTCTGTGCTGGAGAGGTCAAGAGTTGACAGACTGTTGGGTTGACCCAGGAAGTTGTAGAAATGCTGAAATCAAAGACAAAAATATTTCAGAGGTGCTGTTTCAGAATCAGTCATCTGCTGTTGGGTGTAAACCCTAAAGGGCCACCACAATCCTGACGTCTCATCACCCTCGTGGTCACAAATAATCATTCAGTTGTTTTCTAAACTGGCTCGTTCTGCATGACAGCATTTAAGGTGATTTCTGACCATTTGGGATGATTTAAATACACAAGAGTTGAGTTTTGCTCAAATAGATAAATGAACATTTTACATTGTGAGGAATAATTAAGTGGGAAGAGGACTGTAGTGGTCTGAACTTGTTTATGGCCTTAGATCAGGATAAGTGATGTGGGAAGAGCAGATTTATCAGTCCCACAAAACACACGTGGTCACTGGGAGACCCAGAATAAGCCTGTAAGTGCAGAACCTTTTATTTAAATATTTCCTTATAGCTCCAGTTACCTGCATGTCGTCTCCTCGGAGCATGTTCCCTGAGAGGTCCAGATGGACCAGGCTGCTGGGGATGGATGGGTTGGCACTCAGTGACTGGCAAAGGCTATTCACCCCTAAACACACACACACACACACCACACACACACACACACACACACACACACACACACACACACACACACACACACACACACACACACACACACACACACACACACACACACACACACACACACACACACACACACACACACACACACACACACACACACACACGCAGAACCCCACAGTGTCAGCATTATCACAACGCCCAAATCTCCACTGAACATTCAGGCAGAACGCTGAAGGAAATGACAAAGGAAATGAAGAGGAGATGGAGTTGGTATTAAAAAATAAAAATAAATAAAAACAGTCTGAATGTAAAAAAAATCTGCATTTTTGTGTTTTTGAAAATATAATGATGAACCCGTTGTACTATCAAGCTTTAGCACAATATAAAATACACGTATGTCAAAGTGAACTGAACGGACGGTTAGATCTGCAGGCATAAACAATATGTGCTCCAGTGCCTTTTGAGAGATGACAAATGTACTGATGTTGATGTCAGACTACAGCTTTATACTGCCATACTGTGTCCCAGCTATCATCCACTGACTGCATGCTGCTAAGTGTTTTAAGTAGGAAAGACAGAGGAGAAGAGGTGAAAGAGGGAGAAGAGTTAATAAACAGTAGACTAAACATCAAGTGAGTGCTTAAAAACATGGTGCCTCATCCTCTGGGGTAATGGATATAGATTTAACCTTTAACACATAATCAGGGCTCAGTTTAGGCATCATGGGTCGTCTCTAGCCCAAACGATGCAATATGATCGCTCTTTATTGATCGTCTGACAGCTGAACACGTTTACCGGCTGCGTCTGGAGATGAGAGTTTACACCGAATTAGAGTCAAAAAACTAAATAATGAGCCAACTTTACGAATACTTTTACAAAAAGTGAGCTCATAACAAAAAAAATGTTTTTGAAGTGAAAATGACGCAAACAACGTCTCTACTGTTGCAGATACGTCTTTCAAAGACCTCAGATTAGAGAAGTGAAAATGAGCTCATCTCTAAAATGTCATAGTAGTTCACTCAAACTTTACACCTTCATGCTCCTCTGGGCTTCATCCATCAAATTCTATTTTTGCTAGCAACAATTAGCCACTAAGCTAAGTACCTGTACGACTTCCAGTTCAGACAGTGACACCTCCATCTAAATGGGTATAACAGAGAGGTTAACATCTGCTGCTCTGACTCGAGCAGGGAGGGGGGACTGAGCCGCCAGTGAGGGATGTGGGATGGGCCTACAATGGCGCCCAGTGCTAACGACATGCGCTTCACGTCAGAAGCTCTAAAGTCTCCAGCAACACCAGAAAACATCACTAGAACGGCCTCTAGTGGGGTTTTCCAAAAACAAGATGCTGGAGGAAACAGGAAACTCACTAAAGATGGTGATAAAGCCACAGCTGTGCTGTACATAATCTCTCTACAGGAACCTAGTCTCAATGATCTGAGCTGTTTAAGACTTTACATCACGTCAAAAATGATAGATATTATTAAAAGCGCTCCAGGGAACAGCAGGCACGCCACAAACGATCAGCAAACACACTTTGATGACAGTATTTTTATTTTCTATTCTCATCAACAATGTGTTAAGGCAACAGTTGCATCTCACTAATCCACCTGCTGAAGCTGATGGTTACTGGAGGATGTGAGATGTAACAATTCATCAAAATAAAAACCAGAAAAGTCTAATTATCTGCTCCTTTACTGATTGAAGTTTCCATTAGTTTTAATTAAAAATGCAAATTATCTTCAGTCACTTCAGCTGCTGTATGAGAGGAGGACAGCTCCTACCTTTGGGTGACAGAGAGGTTTTGGAAAAGTTTAAATGCTTCAGTCCCATTCGAAGTTTGGCAAACTGGGCGCCCAGAGAGGAAACACCTGCAGAGAGGAAACCAAACACGTCTCTACCTGTTGCAGCCCAACATGCTCCTGCAGCCTTTCGTAGTTTTAACTGACCCAGGGTTACACATAAAATCTAACTGAGTGGTGTTAAATCATCTGTAAACATTCCTCTAAAACTGATCAGTTACGTCTAACTCACTCAGAGGATGTACGCCCCATCAGTACATCTGACTAGTTAGTTACGTTAGGATGCCTTTGAGAGAACTTTAAACAGGCGATGAACAAAGTGGACGCGAATATTCATCGCACCTCTGTCCTCCAGAGGGTTGTTAGAGAGGTTTATGGTGGTGAGTCCAGAGCTGGGGTTGTGGGCCAGAGCGGCAGCCAGCTTCTGGGCAAAGTCCCTGAAGGATGTAGAGAAAGAGCAACAGCAGTGAACTTTATGTAGAATTCTGCAGAAATGTTCAACTCAAAAGTCAGGGAGACTAATTTTGAGCTCTGAATAAAGAAAAAATAAAGACAAACGACTTCACAGACCTAGAACACCATTCTAGCTGAATTTTACTACAGAAAGCCGTCTCACGTTTTGAGTCCCGCGTTGTCTAGAACCAACTCTTCCAGCCGACTGGATCGAGACACCACCCGGAGTATCTGCTCACACACATCTGCAGACTAAACACACACGACAGATGACTACATTTGTGCCGTTTCTAACACGCATTTCATGTCAGTTTCATATCCAACAGCAAAGCCTACAGAAAAACTCACAAGAACAGCAAAAAAGGAGAAATAATTCTCTCAGGTGACTTCAAAAAGTAGGAAATGCTAATAAAAACGGTGCCGTTTGTGGGTAAAGGAAGCACATGAGTCATTTTGTTCCACAGACTGTTCTTGCGTGACACGGTGAATCTGGGGAGACTTTGTTGCAATTCAAGGAGAAACTCGTCTCTCTTCTGTGGTCTCAACTCTCAACACAACAGCAGACGCAGCGGCGCGACACAAGAGCTCTCAAATTTAGACTAAATTAAAAATTCAACAGCCGAGTGTCCGCGCTGCACCTAGATGCTCACTGACCCAGTTCGCTGTGTGCTGCGTCATCCCAAAAAGCACCAACAGTATCATAAGGGAACACACACAGCTACAGTTCTAGAGTGTGTGTCATTTTTATCAGCAGGAAAACGTTTCCACCACGATAACACAACTTTCCTGGAACACGGTGGCATTCCTGATAAACAGTGTTCCTCCTACAAGGACTCTTTCTGCTGGTGAGCTGCTTCGGCGAGGCAAAAACACAAGAAGTATTGTCTGACATGAGGAGGAGGAGATGATGGAGGGAAGGAAGCGTGAGAGTGAAAAGAGTGACAATGACAGGAAAACATAGGAGAAAACAGTTTGCTGTTCACACGATCACTTTACCAGACTAAAAAGTAGGAAAAAAAGAGAATGGAGGGCAGCTAATTCATAAAGAACGCTAAAAGGGGCGGTCCTGGAGCTGTCAGCATGTGCACTGAAGAAGAAGAAGAAGAAAGTATCATTTCTATAGCGCCTCTCAAGATAAAAATCACGAGTCGCTTCACAAAAACAAAAAATGTAAAAATAAAAAAAGCATTTAGCACTGCTCCATTTATCGCTCAGTAAGTACCAGCTTTGTCAAGCTTTGCTGTTCTGACCCCATATTTTAATGATTTATCACATGCTTTAACACACACACACACACACACACACACACACACACACACACACACACACACACACACACACACACACACACACACACACACACAGTGCAGTCATGAGGTAACCAGAGGGCTGGTCCTCTCAGCTTCCCTCCTGTCTTCATTTTGGCTCAACATCTTGATTAGACCCAAAGACTAAAAGCATGATTGAACTGAGGATGAGCAGCATAATCCCTCGCTGCAAAAGCCTGCTCCGTGTGTGTGTGTGTGTGTGTGTGTGTGCGCGTGTGTGTGTGTGTGTGTGTGTGTGTGTGTGTGTGTGTGTGTGTGTGTGTGTGTGTGTGTGTGTGTGTGTGTGTGTGTGTGTGTGTGTGTGTGTGTGTGTGTGTGTGTGTGTGTGTGTGTGTGTGTGTGTGTGTGTGTGTCCAGTCAGCTGCACCGAGCGCGTCCTTATCTGTTCTGGAAGGTAAAACTGTAATTCAGGCCCTGAAGCTTCTGGATTTAATGTTGCACATCGCATCGTCTCCGCCTCCTTCCACACAGTTGCTTGTTAGTTACTTAGTAAAACCCCAGAAGTTCCCAGTAGAGACAAAACAGTTTGTTCTTTCCTAGAATGAAACTTCTGCATCCCTGCGAGTGTTTATCTGGCCAGGATTTAAATGTTTAGTCTGTATTCATTCCCACCTTTCTCCCAGGCTTTAAAATGACGCGCCGATTCATCTTTTCCGATGTTGTTCCACTAGTTTACTTATTTAGCTTCCCTCCCTCTTAACTGACCTCTGACCTTGTTATTTCTGCCTCATGGCTCTGTCATCCATTCTACTGCCCTTTTTTTTAGCTCTTCTTGTGTTTCACCCTCAAACTTGCTTAACCTTCAAACGCCGACGATGGCGGCAATGCTCGGTCTGCTGCGCTGCACCTGTCAGGTCCAGGTTGAAGCAGAAACAAGTAACCACGTTTCCTTTATTAAACGGCTGCAGAAGGTTGCAAATAACTAAAGCTAAACAGACTTCCACTTTGGAAATGCCGCGTGCACGCGCCTGCGGGAACAAACAATCCTTAAATCGAGACTCAGCATAGCGAGGAGGCTGGTTGCTAACATTTTAATATGAAAGTGTGTGACAGAGACGAGAGGTAATTGTTTGGACGGAGGAAGCTGCGTGTGGTGATTTGTGAGACCGAGCGAAGCCTCGAGATGCAGAGTTGGTAAGGGGGGGGGGGGGGGGTAGCGGGAAACAGGCAAAGACATTGAGCCCCTTTGTCTAGTTTGGATTAGAAGTCTTATCACATGAGAACACCGGACTGATCCTCAGCCAAAACACTGCAGGGGGAGACCGAAAAAGGAGACGGATGTTTCCGAAAAGGAAAACAGATTTAACCGTAAACAGTCAGATGAGGGTGAGCAAGAGACGACAAAAACCAAAATGAAGACAGAGAAGTGGAACGTGATGAGTAAAGATGCAGAGGAGGTGAAATTATGCAACACGGAAACCGTTAAAGCAGAAGATCCCAGTCACCGAAATCAGAAAGCAGCATTTTTGCCAGGATCTCACTGAGGAGTTTGTTTAATGTCTTGTCATGTTGGCACATTTCTAATAGTCACAGCTCCTCACATTTGTGTTGCTGAATCTGAAAACCGTTTCAAACGGGAGATGCCACACACATCTGGTGTGGAGCTGTGACCGGCTGCAGATAAACACACCGATTCTGACATTCAGGACGGACTTGCTGCATTCACAATCATAATTAGAAATTACAAACTGAGGGGGAAAAAAGTTACATAAATGTTTCTGTTACATGAGCAAGATTGTTGAGATGTTTCAGTTTATTTGCGGACCCAACAAATTGTAATAAGTGTCATTAATTCCAAGTAAAAATAAACGTTTTTTTCTCAGAAAAACTGAAAATATTAGAACATATTGTGAGGAAGCCCCTGTTTTCTACATTCCTGCTGTTAGCACAATGCTCACAACATTATGTGTTTTGGTTGGGGGGGGGGGTCCAGACCTATTAAAATGGGGTGACCCAGGTGGGACACATGGTCATGGTTGTGCTTTTTTATGTCTTTTGTTCACATTTTTTTAGATAATAATAAAGCATAATACCAATAATACAGAAATGTTGTGTAGGCCAGGCTAGAAACCAAAGTCAAAGGTGCATGCTTGGGGTTTGACCTAAAGTCACATTTAAATAGAATTCAGTGGGGTGGCCAATCATATTCTTAAGGTGGCATGTGCTACCCCAGGCAACTCCCTGGACGCGGCCCTGACTGGAGAGGCTCCAGATTTTGAGGTAATTTTGCCTCTGCTGGACTGATCATTTGGCAGATGAAGAAGAAAACAAGGTCGTCCCCGTTTTTAATCACAGATTGAGCTGTGACTGCACTTTTGGGGCACTGACGCACATTTTTGTGGATGTTTCAGGGTAAAAACGTGTTGCGTCATTCAGTTTCTGTTCAAAAGATTACTGTAAACACAAAACCTTAATCATGATATATAATCTTTACATTTTCGAGCCACTAACCAGTTTGTAATCCTTGGTGGAGAGCCTGGTGAACCACTGGTTGAACTCCAGCACGGCTATAATAGCGACCAGATCCCTGAGGACACAGATCAGAAATGAATCCCACCACAAATTAACAGCACATTAAAAACTACATCCTCACACGTAAATGCACTTTTTTTATTTGTGTATTTGTTTTTGTGTCAGACCATCTTCATCTGTGCACAGCTCCAGTATTTAAATATTTAAGGTGAGCTTCAGAAACCTGTTCTCTAGATGACTGAAGTCCTGCAGGTTGAGCTCTCTGGTGTCTTGTGTCAAGTAGATGGTGTCAACATCCTGGAGAGAAAACAATTATTTATACATGAGGGTTGGATTTCTTTATTTATCAAAGGGCCGAATGCAGTTTTGAGTTAGTTTGGGACAGCTGGCATCTGCTGTGAAGCTCCACCACAGAACAGAAGGGGTCTGGTTCTTACCCACTGCACTTCCTCTCTGTAAGGCAGGCCCAACCAGTCACACACACACCTGTACATCTGAGAAAACCCACCTAGGGACAGAGACGGACAGCAACACAGGCAAAGTCAGGGGAGATGTCAAAATAATCCACCAGTAAACAGCACAAAGCCAGCGGTTCCCACCACAGGGTCCAGGTTCTGCAGGCTTGTTGTTCTCCCACAGAGTCTGCAGAGCGGTCAGCCTGTCCAGAGGCTCCACGGAGAGCTTCTTCATCACTTTACTGAGAAGAAAATGATTTCATTCAGAAGCAGGTTTAGATTAATCAATTATTATTCATTTCCTTAAGTAGCAGAAAGAAGCAGCAGTAAATGTTTCTCCGGATCAAACTAATCAGATCATATGAAGTTATGGCCTCATGGATACAGTTCTGCACACTTTACCTGGGGGGTAGACCAGGACATATCCTCAGGAGACAGTTCCCTATGTGAGCGACCACCTCGTTCACCTCCTCGGTGGAGGGCAGCTTCACAGAAAAAGAGCCGCGCTCGTACTCTACAAACAGCTAAAACCAGGGATGGACATTTAGTCAAGAGAGCAACAAAAATGCATCTTTTTAACCTCATTTATATTCTACATTTTTTGTCCACATTTGGTAAAAGCAGCAACTGAAGGATTTCAGCTCCTTTCAAACTTCCAATATTTAAATTTTTGCTGAAGCGGATTCAGGATCTTTATCTCAATATTTACACAATTATCCACAACGGGAAAGCAAAAGCAGGCCGAGTAGAGACAATGATATTAACTCAAAGTGCCTGACCGTTTCAGTAGACACTGCAATCATGCAAATGTTGCTATAAGGTGACGAAGGCTTTCTCAGTGGGCCCAAATGGACATAATCCTGTCTGCAACATGAGAGGCGTTCACTCTGGATATTAGCAGGACTGACAGGCCTCAGGATGAGCAGGATGGGGGTTCAGCTGCAGGACGGTCTGCAGCAAATTACAATATTTTCTAAGTTAATTCAAATGACTGGCAGCTTGCTAGACCTTTGGGGACCAGAGTAGTCCGCCTAATGCCTGGGATTAATGAGTTTCTCAGGATTCGAAAGAACATTTGGATATTTTTCCAGGCTATTATTCCTAGATTTGTCTATCTCAACCTTTTAATTAGATAAGCTCTAGTGCTTCTATACCGAGCTTTCAAAGAAAGATGTCTTCACAGAATCCTTCAGATGTCTGACACTCTTATAAACGTCAGCCAGTTTAAAATACCATCAAACACAAACAGCGTTTATTATCATTTTTATAGAAAGCGTATTAGTGAAAAGCACAGTTAGATTTAAATGAAAGTAAAAACTGAATTTTAGCTGCTGGACGTTTGAACAACTAAATGAATCCAAAATAATTTTCTCCTTGATGTCTAGACCAGAATGTTTCTTAAATTAGGTTGAATGCATCATGTAACTGTCAATAAAAGGATCCGGTCGGTGTAAAATGGTGTAACCCAACAAAAAAACCTGGTGGGAAGCAGCTGACTGGTGCGAGCACATTCATGAGCAAGTACATCCTCTGGTCTGGTACTCAAATACCAAACTCCAACTGATCAAATACAGATGAATACCTCAGACACAAGACAGGCTGCTAAATTAGCAGGACTGATATAAAAAAGTTGGGATTTCGGTTGATTCGACACGAATTGCCTTGAAACACACACCCTTGTCGTAGTGAGTGATACAACTGGCCTTTCTAAGGAACTGGCTCTAGCTGCTGATTCAGCTGAACTCAGCTGAGGATTCAGGTTAGTGGCTGGCTGTAGATCATACAGCTCAGTGGCATTCTGTCAGTCTTTATTGCAAACCTGTAAAACAAGTTAGCTTACAAGAGTTTTCATGTCTCACAATGTTCTAACTGATGAAAACACTGTCGAGATAAAACAAAAATAAAAACAACAAAGAGGGAAAAAAGGTGGTTCTCTCGCATTTGTCGAAAGACCTTCACCGATAACGTTTCAGATCGAAACAGAAGGCAACTTGCAGAATCGCCGCACTTCCCTGGGTCTTCCATTCATTACGCACTCGTGTATTTAGCAACAGAACACCGCTGGTGTGACAGGCCTGCAGCTGAATAATATCAGAGAAGGAGAAACAGCCAGCTGCTACCGCTTCTACTTTAGGACAAACTAGAGTCGCCCTGAAAAAAACAAAAACGTTTGAAGTCACAGACAACAAAAGACGCTTGGACCTAGAAAAAGGTGACTGGTGTTTAGCACTATCCTGTATCCTCTGGCAATGTGGGTATGTGGTTCCAGTGGAAGATGAGGAGAGGTCAGTGTTCTGTGGCCGTTTGAAGATTCACAAATGCAACTTCAACAGCCTTCGCCGTCAGAGAGACCAGAAGAGGCTCCTAAAATGCATTCCGTTATTACTTTGTGATTTCTGAGGATCTGAGGGCGTAGTACCTGTGTTGGCTTGTTGCACACAATTCCCTGGATCTCCAGATAATTAAAGTTGTGTTCCACCTAAAGACCAAACACAGACATCCAGTTTAGTTTTATGGTCACACAGCTAACGTCATCCTAATGTGAGCAAGCGGTTTATTATCAGGGCCATGGACTAAAACACCCACTGTCCTTCCAACACTTAGCAGGTATTGTTGTTGATGTCAGGTTCTCTGGTTTCCCACTGGCTGAAACAATCACAAAATCAGTGAGTTTCTGTGTTGAGCCAAATCTCATGGTCATTAGTCAGTGGTTAAGCCTAACCTGCTGATTTCAGGTAAACTTTAACCAGATTTAACACTAAACATCCACTCATTTGCGTCAATGTATTTTCTCGTGCTGAAAGGGCATTTTAGGACAAAATAAAAACAAAAGGCTGCGCTCATACAGACACATTTATATTTACTATGAGAGACGGGAAAGCCCGTGCTACATCATAATGAGCAGAGTTTTCCTTGGACTCGTGCTTTCTCAGACACACTCTGGGCTGAGCGCCTGAGGGCAGGCCAGGCAGCGAGGCCAGACTATTCCAGCAGGGAGCTGAAAACCTCAGGCTCGGTTTAGAGATGAGATGAAGGAAGGCATAAGCAGAAAGCTGAGGTCTCACTGCATTATTGCAAGTGTGTGTGTGTGTGTGTGTGTGTGTGTGTGTGTGTGTGTGTGTGTGTGTGTGTGTGTGTGTGTGTGTGTGTGTGTGTGTGTGTGTGCGTGTGTGTGTGTGTGTTTCTGTCAGCAAGGCTTAGCCTACTCATCATATACACAACAGGAATTACTTCATTTATGTGGTACAAAGGAAACACCGATTCATAATAAATATAAAAAGAAAAAAGATCAAAGGTCAGATTGCCTTAAAAAAGGATGAAACACACAAATAATGCCAATCAAGGAAATAGCTAATACTGGTGTTTTTAGGGCTGAACAAGTTATTATCACATTAACTAATTAATCACTGAATGCAAACAAACATTATTGGAAGTATCAAATTTTTATTATTAATATTTTGAATATCGGTTCCTGACTAGCTCTGAACACACCGGTGGATCCTGGGTCACCTGGTCTGAGATCTTGATTGTGACTGGTTAGGATGAACATCAATCCACGTTTTAGCCAATGAGATCATTTACTGAAATACTTGTTACCTACTGAGCACGTTGTACTTTAGAGGCATGGAAAGCTCAATATAACTTTTTGGACAGTTTTGTCGTAGTTTCGGTTTCAGGCAATAACAAACGTACATCTGCATGAGGAAGATGTGTGTTTCTGCTTCAAAAGCTTCAAAGGCATTAGAAACATGAAAGTTATGATGTTAGAAGACATTTTTATTCTGTAATAAATCATGAAATTGTGAACACATTTTTAATCGACTGAAGGCGTTTTTACATAAATTATCTTAACACCAGCGTGTAAAATGTCAAATTCTACTAATTATTATTATTTTGTCGTCTTTTTGTAGACAGCTCAGTACATTATTAGACACACATTGGTGTCGTTTCTGATCTAAAACTAAATAACCAGATTTTGTAAATCTACATCTTTTTGTCAACTGTGGAGCACATGCTTCACAGTAGATGTGCTAATGGAACACAATAGGTTTTTGGGTCGACATCACACTGTTTCAATATAAAATCGATATAATAAGGCTTGACGAAGCTCAGTAAGTTATGTTTTTCTGCCTAATCCAGCGGACCAACAGGTTTCATGCTGGGGAGCCTGTGGAGAAACCAAATGCTGTTAACTGATGGTTCGCTCATTCGATAATTGTCCATCTGCTCATTCTCCCTTCTTGCAGTTGTGTTTTCATGCATTTATTACCAGGTACATAGAAGGGAGCGGCATCAAAGCCTGACGGAGTGTCATGAAACATTTAACTTCACTTTGAGATCATTTTAAACAAACAACAAATTCTGAAGCAGCAATAGGGTATGGGAAAGTGTAGAAAAACAGCAAGAAGGGAGCCATGAGTGACTTTGTTTGCGTGATATCAGCATGTGTGGGTGCTTTGGAGCAGACAAACAGACAGTTCAACCCTGCAGCTTCACAACAGAAGCCAAACCATCAATCCGAGAGACAGACGCACAGGAAAACCCACGGAGAAGTAGAGCTACGGGCCAATTTCAGCTCTAAATAGAGTGTAGCGTACAACACAACACTTCAACACTAAAGCTTTGGGCCAAAAGATCACAGAGCTAACGAAATCATTATCATTTACATAAGATACTCGAGCCTCGGGTCCATTCAGATTAATATCCTACAGAGAATTGACTCTGAAGTTAAGTATCCAATACTAGAACAGAAGCTGACTATCTAACCTAAACATCTTGATTAGAAAAATAAAATAACTAATAGGGGTGTAAGAAAATATCAATATGGCAATATATCGTAATATTTTTCCAGCGATATTATACTGATATTCAAAAGCTGTGTATCTGTGGAAAGGAGGGGTTAGGGGCTGTGCAATTCTGCTGTTGTGTCCTTGGGCAAGACACTTAACCCACCTTGCCTGCTGGTGGTGGTCGGAGGGACCGGTGGCGTCTGTGCTCGGTAGCCTCGCCTCTGTCAGTGCGCCCCAGGGCAGCTGTGGCCACATTGTAGCTCATCACCATCAGTGTGTGAATGGATGAATGATACACTGTAGTGTAAAGCGCTTTGGAGTCCTTACTCTGAGAGGCGCTATACAAGTGCGGGTCATTTATCATTTATCTAATTTGGGGGGGGGGGGGGGGGGGATAACAAAACATGCAAATATTTGTGTATTTTCTTTTCTTTTGGTGCAATTCAAACACCGACCGCTAGTTGGCAACAGTATGCCATGGGTTTTGTTGCCACCATTGAAATGTAAATGCCTTTGTTATGGTTCAGATACCTCATGGTAAACATGTTACGTATCAGTTTGGACTGCTTACTGAAATTTCCTACAATAAATTCAGTCTAAAAAAAATCGCTAATATCGTCTGACTGAATGTATCTCAATGTATCGTCTCCCCTGTATCGTGATACGTATCGTATCGCCAGAATTTCCCCAATACACATCCCTAATAACTAAATATGCCAGACTATGGTGGGTCTTACCCCTCCTTTCTACCGGAGCCGTCAGCAGCACGTTACTGCAGCAGCAAGTCTTGCTCGTGTAAGCTGCTGCTTGGCCCTTCCCACCAGAGACGCGAAGCAGCAGGGGAGCAGCTGTCACCGACAGAGCACGAAGTCACACGAGTGACTTCGTCAGTAAACACAACAACAAGCAGGAGAAAACTAAAACATGGCTCCAAAAGGTTTGTGTTTTATGTTCTGTCCGTTTTATAACCGCCAATACGGACCTGAAAAACAAAGGAGACCGCTAGCTAGGTGATGACTTCTCACGGGGCCGCACAGTCAGTAACTTTTTTAAAGTAAAGCAACCGGAAGGCAGTACGTTTATTTATTCTGAAAATCTCAAGAAGCTTCGCTCAGTTTCCGCGACCGATTTCCTGTCTTTCCTTCCCCAAAAATGTCAAACTTGACCCGTTTCAGAGGCGTCGCGCGTAGAAAATAGAGCCGGCGCGTAAGGGCAGCAGCATGCTGCTCCTGAGACGCGGCTGACTCGCGCTGCTGACGGCTCCAGTGGAAAAGGTTCTGTTGACCACAGCGGTTCCTATCAGCAGCTATGGCGTGCTGCTGACGGCCCCGTCACGGCTCCAGTGGAAAGGAGGGGTTAGGGGCTGTGCAAAGCTGACACAGCCCTTTGAGGCCCACTGCATGCAAAAGTGGTTTAGCAAAGTTCCTGCTGCAGGTGAAGTCCTTTTGGCTGAACTCTAAACCCATGTTTGAGCTTTTAAACTTGTTTCTAGTGTTTTACTCACGCATGAACAGAGAATTAAGAAAAAAAAAAACATTGAAAGCAAATGTGAAAAACTGCCGTTTAAACACAACAGAAACAAAACGGCAAGATTTCTGGTCGTCTGTGCTGGCACATAGCCAGAGTCGAGGAGGGAAACCAAAACAAAAGGAAAGGGAGGAAATTAGATAAGAACCTGATTAACAAGAACAAAACTGAAGCTTTGAGGGAAGCGCAGGGAGCAGCGGTCACCAGTGTGATCTGACTCAGAGATAAAATCGTTATGGCAACAGAAAAACTTGTCTCTAAATCAACAAGTGCTTGAGAGTGTAAACGGAAACGGAGAGGGGAGACAAACTGTAAACAGAGGCAGTAAGCGTTTAATTCTTCATCAAGCAGGTGTTCAATCCTAATATACAGAACAGATGCAGCTAAATACGCAGGAGCTGAACCTACCTGGCCCAGTAGGAACTGGTGCAAACGTGTGTGATACACAGCGCTGGACTAGTTTGAACATTTTTAAATTCCTCGCTTTAGAAATTTCTCCAAAACAAGCGCACACTTTGTATGAAAATCTCTTTTTAATGGAGCGTCTCAGCTCTTACCTTGGCGGGAATGCGTGCTGTTAGGAGGTAGGCACGGTGAGCCGCCAGAGCCTGAAAGAAAACAGCGAGGACAACCAATCAGTAGCAGAAAACTATGCTTCTGTATCTGGAAAACAACAACAACAACAAAAAAACTATGACAACAAGAAAGGAATAAAGACCACTCAGCGGCATCCCAACTTTTATTTTGAAAAGATTGAAAAGTTGAGAATCGTTGTAGGGTAGGATACATTCACTCAAGAGGAAAAAAAGGGGCAAAGGGAGAATTCCTGACCTACAAACAATAAATGATTTTTATTTTAAGTCAAAGGTAATGCCACCAGATTTTGTCCTGTCAAAAGATACAAACTCACTAAAGCCTGACCTTTAGGCAGTCGGAGGGAGGACTTCCACCTCCATCAGATGTTAATAAATCGTTGATATTTCACACATCACGGCATGCTGCAGCACCGTGAGCATTATAACATTATAACGGGTGTTCCTACATATTTTCATATTAATGACTTGTTTTCTTTATTATTGTTTATAGTAGTCGGTTTTTATCATTCCACTCAGACCAATTTAAATCTCTCAATCGCTGCAGGGAAAAATCACCAGACATTCATGATCGGGGGCAGCAGTAACTCAGGAGGCAGAGCGGGTTGTTCAGCAATCAGAAGGTTGCAAGTTCGATCCCAGCTCTGGCCAGATAATGCTGCTGTTGTGTCCTTGGGCAAGACACTTAACCCACCTTACCTGCTGCTGGTGGCCGGAGGGACTGGTAGCGCCAGTGCTCGGCAGCCTCGCCTTTGTCAGTGCGCCCCAGGGCAGCTATAGCTACATCGTAGCTCATCCCCACCAGCGTGTGAATGGGTGAGTAACTGTTTGTGTTGTGAAGCGCCTTGGGGGGGGGGGGGTTGTAGAACCCTAAGAAGGCGCTATACAAATACAGGCATTACCACCATTACCTGCTGTATAACAGAAGAATACACATGTCTCGGGCTTTTTGAGTCTGCAGGATAAAAACAAGCTGCACTCAGCATCCCGTCTGTTGTGTTTTATGTGTTTTTGTAAGTGTAGAAGACCCAACATTACACAGAGCTGTGTTTTTACCGTCACCTCAGCGGCGTGTCCCGGGAGTGTGCTGTTCCTATTTCTCCAACCTGGTGTCCCAGAGCAAAGGGAACCCCAAGGTGCTGTTTAACACCATCAGCAGCATCGTCTCTCCTGCCTCTCCTACAGCCTCCATCCACTCTGTTACAGACTGTGAGAACTTTCTGTCTTTCTTTGTGGACAAAGTCAATAAGGTTAGATCTAGCATCTCTCCTTCAGCCTTATCGCTGCCTCTCCCGACTCCAACCAGGCCCATCATCCTAGATAGCTTTGCTCCTGTTTCTTTGCCTGAGTTAACAAAACTAGTTAACTATATGAAGACCTCTGCATGCCCCCTCCACATCTTACCCTCATCTTTGTTTAAAAATGCTTTTCAGTCCATCGGTCCCAGCGTGCTCTCCATCATTAATGCTTCTCTGGTCTCTGGTCAGGTCCATGCTTACTTTAAGAACGCTGTAATCCACCCACTTCTTAAAAAAACGAGTCTCCACCCCTCTCTCCATAGCAGCTTCAGACCCATCTCTACACTTCCGTTCATCTCCAAGATCTTGGAAAAGGTTGTGGCTAAACAACTCACAGCTGCTCTTGATGAACATAACATCTATGATAGCTTCCAGTCAGGTTTTCGTAGAGCTCATTCTACTGAAACAGCTCTTCTTAGGGTCTCTAATGACCTTCTGACTCACAGTGATGCAGGGGACTGTTCTGTTCTGGTCCTGCTGGACCTGACTGCAGCTTTTGACACTGTTGACCATCACCTGCTACTGGAGAGGCTGAGAGACTGGGTAGGCCTATCAGGATCTGCTCTGGAGTGGTTCCCCCTCTTATCTCTCTGAGCGCTCCTTTTCTGTAGCCATCTCCAAGTTTAGGTCCTCCACCACCTCTCTTACCCATGGTGTCCCACAGGGTTCTGTGCTGGGGCCTCTGCTCTTCCTCCTCTATCTGCTTCCTCTTCAGCACATCCTGAGCTCCTTCAAAGGAATCTCTTACCATCTTTATGCAGATGACATCCAACTGTACATCTCCTTTAAGCCCCATGAGATGTCTAAGCTGCAGCTGTTACACACCTGCTTAGACTCTATCAAAACCTGGATGGCTGCGAGCTTTCTACAGCTGAATGAAGATAAGACTGAGATCCTCATCTGTGCCCCAGACAAGCTGGTTCCCAAAGTCAGAGACTCTCTTGGTCACCTTGCTTCTCACACCAAACCTTCTGTCAGGAATCTTGGCGTGACCTTTGACCCAGCTCTCACCCTGGATTCTCATGTCAGTGCTCTTGTTCGCTCTTCCTCCTTCCATCTCAGGAACATTGCTAAGCTGAGTCCCATTCTGTCTCGCTCTGAACTTGAGACAGTTATCCACACCTTCATCTCCTCACGCTTAGACTACTGTAACTCTCTTTTCACGTGTCTGAGCAGAACCTCCCTGAACCGTCTACAGGTGGTTCAGAATGCCTGTGCTCGGCTTCTGACCAAGTCCTCCAAACACACCCACATCACCCCGCTTCTCCTCCAGCTTCACTGGCTGCCAGTCAACTTCAGGGTTCATTTGAAGATCCTGGTTCTGGTCTATAGGGCCTTACAGGGACAAGCACCATCTTACATTGGTGATCTTCTTAGTCCCCACACCCCCAGCAGGTCCCTGAGGTCCAGTGATCGAAGCCTACTGGTTGTGCAGCACCAGGCTAAAGACCAAATGTGACAGATCATTTGCTGCTGTGGCCCCCAGACTCTGGACCTCTCTCCCCCTGAGCCTGAGATCAGTGGACTCAGTGGTCTCCTTTAAAAAGCAGCTGAAGACTCACTTGTTCAAGCTGGCTTTTGTATGACCTTCTTCACCACTCTCTCTTTATTCTGCTCTCCCCACCTATTCCACCTTCCTCAGGATCCACTGATTTCCCTCTTTCCTATTCACTCTCTCTCTTTCCTAACATTTTTTTAATCACAATTGCCTATTTTGCTCATTTTAAATATATATTTAAACATTTTCTAAATGCTTTATATATTTTTACATTTTTTTGTGAAGCGCCTCGTGATTTTTATCGTGAGAGGCACTATAGAAATGATTTCTTCTTCTTCTTCTTCTTCTTCTTCTTCTTCTTCTTCTTCTTCTTCTTCTTCTTCTTCTTCTTCTTCTTCTTCTTCTTCTTCTTCTCTTCTTCTTCTTCTTCTTCTTCTTCTTCTTCTTCTTCTTCTTCTTCTTCTTCTTCTTCTTCTCTTCTTCTTCTTCTTCTTCTTCTTCTTCTTCTTCTTCTTCTTCTTCTTCTTCTTCTTCTTCTTCTTTGAACGCATTCCATGCAAGCTGGTCCACAGAATCAAATAATCACAGAAGAAATTCAAGATCACGAGTACTTTTGCCTGTTCGCACAGCAACGACCAACAACAAGACAGCAGCATGCATCAGAGAGGTCTGTGGTTTATTTTCTGTTTTATTTTTTGCCTCTCCTAAGGAGGTGTCACAGGTAATGACTTCAGTCGATAGCTAAGCAACAGGTATTCTGCACATGTCTTTTATTTAGAAATTTGCTTTAAACTGCTCCTGTGTTTGATTTCTTGTCTGGCTCAATCTGAGCTGCTGAACTTGACTCGCTCTGGAGGCGTAGCGCATAAATTCACCTGGTGTGTACGTTTATCCGAGCAACACAAAACTACGCTTCTGGGACCCATTCTACATGTGCTGCAATGCATCTGGTGGGAAACAAGCCCACTGACTACAACGGTGGCTGCTGGCGGCGTGCTGTGCTCTAGACACCACCAACGCTTCTGGTGGAAACACAGGATTACTGTTGTGTTTGTTTTTGTTAGTAAAGTTAAGAACAAGGGTTTGTCCAGGTTGAAAAAGCTATAATACTGATCAAGGCAACCATTAAAACCTACAACTGTGACACCACTGCAACAGAGATGTCACGCTATCTCCAGAGTTTCTCATCTCATCCATACATTTTCCAGGTTCTCGACTAAATGAGTTGTGTTTTTAGATAATAGCCTTAGAATCCAGTCGCTGCCGGGACTTTCTAGTGAGGAGGACCAAAGCACTGAAGTGACAGGATGCTTGAGAGGAAAATATAAACAGAAAATCAGGTGTGGAGCATTGAAGGAAAGAAAAGAGAAGAAAATGAGCTGAGGAGAGACCATAACAGGATAAACATTTTTTGCGGTCACTTTTTTTAAAATGTAGAAGAAGAAACAGAGGGATGAGAGACATGGCTGTGACGATGCTCTTCAGGCCTCTGAGACTCTGCTCCGCAGGCAGCGTTTTTCGGGTTTGATGCGATGGAGATGGACAGGCAGGCTTGTACGGCCAAAGATAACCTCTACCAAAGAGCAGGAGTCACTACCCGCTTTGCTCATCCCTCCCTCTCATTTCACTGCATCTCGTTTTCTGCTCTGGAGCTTTAACACGTGATGTGGCCATCAGGACGGAAAACCAGCCTCATCTTATTCTAAACTAAATAAGCTTGCTTCAAGCTGCAATGACAAATGTGGAAAACAAATTAGCTCAAAACATTTGAAAAAATAAGTTCTAACAATCTAAAAGCGCGTATAAATATATTGTGGAGATAAAAACATAAAGTGGTTCTCTCGCTATTGCCTAAAAGCCTCCGCCAAAAACCCGTTTCAGACTGAAAGTGACAATTAGATTCACCCGGTTGTCGGTCTCGCCAAGCCGCCGCACTTCCCTGGGTCCTCCACTCATCACACACTCACGTGTTTAGAAACAGAACACCACTGGTGTGAGACGTTCTCCCGCTCAATAACATCAGAGAAGCAGAAACAGCCTGCTACCACTTCAACTTTAGGGCTAACTACCAGAGTCCCAGAAAGAAAAACAACATTTGAACTCACCACAGAGCAAAAGACTTTTGGACCTAGAAAAGTGCGACCGGTGTTTAGCACCATCTCGGTACGTCAGACATCGTGGGTTTCCAAAAGAAGCATCTCAGGGAAGATGCCCCAGGA